AACCATTTTTACCTTCTTTTTCATGTCCATCGTGTTCCGCTGTCTGTGTAAGACACCTGGCCGCCGAATATCAACGCACTTGAGCCCCACGGGCATGCAGTCGAAGCGTTTGCTCAGGTCTGGCATGGGGCCGCTGCTTCCGGGCTTTGCTATACTCCGCTAGCCATGCACCACGGACCAGGACATGTAGTAGCTGCGAGATGTCTCATCAATCTCGATGCAGCCTACATCGCAATGCGGACGTGGCCCAAGCTAGCGGCCAAGTCCTTGCGACCACCGACCTTGAGCCATGAATGGAGCTTGGCGAACGTTGCGCGGCGCCTGGGCTCGGGGTCTGCTCCACCGGTTAATTATCCGGATAATCCACGAGAGCGCTCATTTGGAATTTGCGATCGCAGCAAGCAGGAAGAGTCGAGCGCATGGCGACCAAGGCGACGCAGACGCCGGCGCCGGGCAATGAGGATCCGTCGATGGAGCCGACCGAGATGCGCCTCGTCGTCGCTCGAGGACCGAAGCGGTCGCGGGGTCCCGCCACGGTGTACGCAGTGACACCCCCAACCCTGGCTTCCTAACGACACCATTTATGCTGCAGGCCCCCCAAGGCGCCCACTGGCCGCAGCGCGCGCGTGCGAAAACCCACGACTACGTACACCCCCGTGATTGAAGCCAAGAAGGTCGGGCGAGGTCGGCCGCCAGGGTCCAAGTCCGGGGCCGCGACCGCCAAGGATCCGGTGAAGCGACTCTTGAACCGCGTCCGTGCCCGCGTACGAGAGACTATCCTTCGACGTCCTGCGCTCATGGACCTGGTGAATGTGTTAGCTCTCCCAGCTTCGATACCACACGACGTACATTGAAACGTACGAAGCCGATGGGTGGCGCAAGCGAAGCACCGAGAAACTCAAGCCGAGCGGGGAGCTGGAGAAGACCCGACGCAAGCTGCGCTACGGCAAGCAGATGCTCTTGGTCGACATCCGAAGCTTCCAAGAGCACTATGCAGCGCATCGGCCGCTGCCGCGCGACGCCGGCGAGATGAACGAGGAAGACATTTTGTGCGCCAAATGCCTCCTCTCGACAACAGCGCCGGACAATGACATATTGATCTGCGAGTCGCCGGGCTGCAACCGGTGTGTGCTTACAGCTGTGTACGTAACCTCCTGACGCATCCATAGCGTGTACCACCAACAGTGCCTTGAACCGGTCTTGCTCACAAAGGACCTTCCGGCCGAAGACGTCGACTGGTACTGCCATCTGTGTCGCGGGATCTTCGAGGCCCTTCGGCTGACCAACTTGTCCTTTGGTACGGCGTGGATGGCCGTCGAGGAGGTACAAACTCTCGCCAATTTTGATGTGCAGTTGAGATTATATTAGGTGTTTCCCGACCTTGAGGCGGAGACGACGGCCGCCGAGACAGACCTCATTCCGTCCGACTCGGACGACGAAGACTTTACCGGCGTCGATTCCAAGGACGAAGCGAGTGGTGATGGCGAGGTATTTCACTGCCTTTGCGAATGACACGGAGTGATTCCGTCCTAGTCTGGAGACGGCGGCTCGGAGGAGGCAATGAGCGACAGTGAAATCGCGTTCCACAAACAAGCGCTCGCCACGGTCGAACCCTCAAGCGGACCGCAGGCAACAAAATCAGCCAATGGGGACGACGCTGTTCTGGTCACTGGAAAGCGCAAGCGATCGGTCGTCGACTACCAAGCCTTGCTCGCGCAGATGCCCGCGGACGATGACGACGACAACGATGAGAACGAGTACGCGCCACCCGATGAGAGCCTCTCGGACCACAGCAATGCGAGCTCGTCCGACGAAGAAGACGAAGAAGACCTGGCGACCCTTATCGTTGAAGGCAAACGGAAGCGAACACTAGTCGACTACCTTGCTCTCAACGGCCAGCTCTTTCCGAACGACGCGGCGGGGGACGAAGAAGGCGATGTCGAGTACGCTCCGAGCAAGCTCGAAACGATTGCCGAATCGTCAGACGAAGACATGGCTGCGGGCAACGACGACGAGTTGCCTCCCCAAGTGAAGGAGAAACGCAAGCCTGGCCGGCCACGAAAGCCCGTGGACCCCAACGCACCACCGCGCAAGCGCGGGCGTCCACCGACCAAGCACCTCAAACTGGCGGCAGCCGCTGGAACGATCTCGTCGTCCACATCTGCTGCCAACACGGAGACTGCACCACTTCTCAAGCGCGAGCATCCGACGGGCGAGGCTGAACAAGGCCCGCCTTTGAAACGCAACTCATCGCCGCATGTCGAAGGGACGGCAGCGAGTAGCCCTGGCGACTCCTCGATGTCACTACCGATCTCGCTAGCGCCGTCAACAGGACCCGCGGCACTAGGAAAGCGACAACGGACGCCCGTAGACTATGTCGCTCTGAACGGCGCGAGTCCGTAGTAGCAAGGCCTTGGTAGCAGGTAGCCGAGTCAATTTACTTTTATCGTCTAGTACATGGGGAAGGCTGGGTCGACGCGTGCTGCCCACGCGTCGAGGCCGCCTTCAATGTGCCACACGCGCGTCGTCGACTGCAGCAGCAAGAGGGCGGCGTCGACCGAATCCACCCCCCGGCGGCAAAGTACGTACACTACAGTCGAAGAGGAAGACGCGTTGGAGGCGCGAGTGCGACGTACCTGGCTTGGACGCAGGAACCTGCGAGAGGTGGGCGGGAAGCGCTTTCAGCGGGATGTTGACAGCGTCGCGCAAGTGGCAAATGGCAAATTGAACCGGCTCGCGCACGTCGAGGAGGCAATAGTCAGCCGGCGACGACGCACGTCGAAGGGCCGCGGCCAAGTCCTACAAGTGTCCATCAAGACGCTTTTCAAACGGCCCGGGTTCGAACCTCGACGCTCATTATGTGGTCGGGCGACAGCGACGACGGCAGCGCGCAGGTACGAGCACTAGTGGCCGCCGAGTCGTGCGCCGACAAGATCGTTGGGCTCTCGCCGCACACGGCGCAGTCCTTGCGCTTTGGCGGTAGCTGCATTAGGTTGAATTTGCATCTTCCGAGGCGAGCATCGCTAACACCTTGAAGTGGCGGACGCTGCCGTCGAAGGCGTCATAGAAGGCCTGCGTGCGGCTTAGCGGCGCGCCCATCCCAGTGAGGACTTTGACCACCTAGACATGTACTGGCAACCAAGTGCAGGACGAGCGTCGCCACCTCCATCGCCTGCATGGAGCCGATGATGCCGGGCACGACGCCGAGCACGCCATTGTCCGAGCAGTTGCCAGTCTACGTCGTATCTCGCGTCAGCACCAATATCGCGAGGCGGAGCGTACGATGCCAGCGGGCATGGCGTTGGGGTAACAACACCGGTAGCACGGGCCACCCTTGTAGTGGTATACGGTCACCTGCCCTTCCAAGCCCAACGCGCTCCCGCTCACGAGCGGCTTCTCTTCAAGGACACAGACGTCATTGACGAGGTACCGCGTCGCGACGTTGTCCGAAGCGTCGACGACGACATCGTAGCTACGCACAAGCTCGGCGGCGTTGGCAGCCGTGAGAAACACGGGGTATGTAGCCAGCGAGAGGTGCGGGTGGCGGCGCTGGAGCTCGTCACGGGCACTCTCGACCTTGAGCCGCCCGATAGCTGCCTGCGTGTGGAGCACCTGCCGATGCAAGTTGGTCTCATCGACAACGTCGCCATCGACGAGGCCAATGTGACCGACGCCCATACCACCGAGGTAAAGCAGCACGGGGCACCCGAGCCCGCCCGCGCCGACCACTAGAGCCACATGATGTTCGCCCTTGCATCGCGTTGTCTACCTAGCACGCGGGCCTCGAGGAGCGCCTTCTGCCGCTGGACGCCAAAGTCCGCAACGAGGAGCTGGCGGCTGTACCGGCGGTTGGCATCAGCGCCGAGCACCGTCTGGAAGCCGTCATTTGCCATCATATTGCGTCTTTCTCGCTGCGGTCGGTATACAAACCACAAGAGAGCCCGAAATAGAACGCAATGCCGTTAAACAGGGTTTACTCACCACATCGCCGTCGACGGGCGTCGAGAAGAGGGAGCGATAGCATGGCAACGAGACAAGCAAGTACAAGCAAAGCACCGGCTGTGCACATGCTACGATTGCGCTGCAGACGCCTTGTGAGTGCGGCCGTGTCGTGCTGGTAGAGGCCGCGCGCCGTCGAATAACGCGTTAAATGCGATCATACTGCGTTTTTTGTTTCCGTCATCCAGTTTGCAACGTGCCATGAGCAGCAGCGAGAGCGAGCGCCGAACTGCGAGCGAGCCCAGCGGCAGCCCGCGCCTCCAAAGACAGAACTCGTCGTCGTCGTCCGTGGCGTCGACTTCGCTCCTCCGGAGCAACTCGAGCTTCCGAGGCGCGCTGCCAGGTATGCTCGAAGGCCGCTTTCTCGGGGTCCTCGCGTCCGGCCTCGTCGACAAGCGGCGCGAAGGCGCGGTCCGCGCCGGGTTTGCGCGCCGCCTCTTCATTCTCAGTGTGCGTGGGCTCCATTACTACCGCAAAGGCGACGAACAAGAGGTCTTTGGCACGGAGCGCGGCCAGCTGCCGCTCAAGGACGTCGGGTATGCCAAGGTCGTGCCCGAGGAAGAGGCGCCGTACGGCACCATCGAGGCCGGCGTCGACTCGCACTTTGTGGGCATCTTCTCCAAGCAGCACACGCTCACGTGGTTCCTCCGCGTCGAGTCGGCCGAGTCGGCCAAGTACTGGGCCACGTCCGTGAACGCAGCGCTCGAGATTGGCAAGAAGAAGGCGTTCCCGACGGAATGGACCGCCGAGATGCTCGACATGTACACCAAGATTGCTGTCGGCGTGCCCGCGTCCCCGGAGGTCAGCGACGGTCGCCAGCCGACGCCGGCCGCAGTGGCTGCCCCCAGCGGCAGCCTCCCGCCGTCCCCGTTCTGGGTAGGCACAGCTCCATGTATGTATTCGTCGGCTCAGGATGCATTACTAGAACATGCAACCCATTGTGCTCGGGCTCTCCATGTCGACGGCGGCGGGGCGCGAGCGTCTCCTTACGCGCAAGCTCGAGCTCGAGAAGGACGTGCTCCTCGGACCGATTCCGCTCAGCCTCAAGGTCAAGGAAGCGTGCTACTTTATCATGAACAACCAGGACGTTGTCGTCTTGCCGCACGCGCAGCTGGCGCCGATCATCGCGTCCGTCGACGCGTCGGGCCGCGGCAGCCTCGAGTGCGTCCTCAAGGGTGCGCGCACGGCCATCACTGGTACTACTACAAGCTCCATCGCCTCGCTGATTGGTTGTACCTAGTGGTTGCGCACGTGACGCGCGTCGTGTCACGCGTGCCGTCCGCGACCCTCGCGCCCGAGCGGCCGCCAGTGCCGAGCCTGTTTACGACGTCGACGACCTTTGGCGCGCTGTACCTTGTGAGCTGCGGCATTGCGCTCGCCTTCTCGCCGCCGTTCCAGGGCGTCATGAAGGTCACTGCCACGCTTGGCGTGCTCCTCGCGCTCTCGGTGCTCGGCGTCGCGTACCTCGACTATGCGCAGCTGGCGTCGGTGCTCCAAGCGTCGGCGGCCCGCGAGTCGCCGCCGTCGCCCAGCGCCAGTCTCTACAATGTCGTTCTGCGCGTTGCGTCCGTGGACCTCTTGTCGCCGGACGAAGCCGCCGAGAGCGCGACGACCGAAGCCGAGACCGCCGACCAGCGCCCCGAAGTCGACGACGAGGAAGACGCTGTCGTCGTGTCGGTGCCCGTGCGGCCCGACGTGATCCCGGAGCTGGCGTTCTCGCCGCGCTTCCTTGCAGCTGAGAAGGGCGACGAGGCCAAAGGTCGCGCGCGCTACGAGGCGACTCTGCAGTGGCGCCGCGAGAACCACGTCGACGGGATCCTCTACGAGGTGCAGCCGCATTTCCACCTCATCAAGCAGTGCTACCCGCAGTACTTCCACGGCCGGTCCAAAAATGTATACGCCGTATCGTTTCAACTTGATACTTATGAGAGTAGGGCAACTGCGTCTACTACGAAAAGCTCGGCAAAATCGACCTCAAGCGCCTCAAGAGCGCCGGCCTGAGCTTGGACCAGCTGCTGCGCCACTACATGTACATCACCGAGTACCTCTGGCTCATTCTCGAGCCGTCCGACACGGGCCGGACCATCTCGGTGCTGGACGCCGAGGGCGTCGGGTTCTACGACCTCACGGGCGAGGTCATGGAGTTTGTTCGGCGGGCGATGGCGTTCGTGTCGGCGCACTACCCGGAGCGCAGCGCGCAGATCTTCATCGTCAACGTCCCGACGTGGTTCAACGTCATCTGGAAGGGCATTAGCCCGCTCGTCGACCCTGTCACGAAGGAGAAGGTCGCTCGAGCTCTCTCCACCGCGGAGGCTCATCGCGCGTAGATTCGCATCTGCAAGGGCAAGATGGTCAAGGAAGAGCTGCTCAAGTCGATTGATATCGCCGAGCTACCCGCTGGTATGCAGTGTATTTTCCACTGGATAGAGCATTACGGTGAGAATGCGTGTAGACTATGGCGGCGACGGCCCCGCGCTCGGCGGCTCGGCGGAAGAGAAGGCGCTCGCGGCGTACGTCGATCAGTTTACCCACTAAGAGGCGTGAATTTGACGCGTTTACCCTGTACCTCTTCCATATGCATAATATTAACTATGAGAGGGACCCGCATCCGCACCCGCGATTCTTGGACGACGATGTTCGATGGGACCGACGACGACGGGAGCCTCGAAGACCTCGAGCGAGAACTCGCCGAGTGCGAGCAAGAGCTCGTGCTATGGAAGCTCCGCCGCTCCCGCGCTCTGAAGAAGCGAGCGCTCGAGGCGCTGCCAAGCCCGAGCCCCGACGCGTCGCCCGTCGCCGAGCTGCCGATGGAGCCAAGAACCGAGACGTCGCTGCAAGCAATTGCGAGCTCACCAGTGCGAAGCCACAGTCCGCAATCGTCGAGCCCATCCGCCCATTTGGTACCTGTGCAGAGCCCGTTGCCAGCGCCGATTGCGAGCCCATCGCAAGCCGAGCCAACAACGGTTCGAAGCGAGTTGCCATTGGCGCCCGTTGCCAGCCCAGAACCAAGCGCGAGTCCGACCATGTCGTCCCATCTGACCATTTCCACGACCACGTCGGCGAGTGCAACGCCGCAACGCCTCACGTCGCCGCTGGGCCCGCTCCCGGACGAGGCCAGCCAAGAGGATCGGCGGCTCCTGGTCCAGAAACTCCGCGAAGAAAAAGCCAAAGTCGCCCGTCGCGAAAAGATCGCCGAGCTCGAGAAGGCCGCGGCCGAAGCGCTCAAGGTAGTCGATGACCTTCCTGCAGCATCGATCCTCATGAGCTGTGTAGAAGCAACGCATTGCGCGGGAGAAGCTGGAGCGCGTCAACCTGCAGCGCGCCGCCGCGCCGCCACCGATCCGCACGACACACACGAACAAGCGGCCGCTGCCCGTGTCTGCGACGCCGCCTCGGCACGCCAAGCGCCAAGTCATGCCCACCGACAAGCCGCTGGACCCCGAGGCATTGGCCCGTACGTCGTCCAACTCTTCACGCTCGCAATAACCACTGCGTCTAGTGCCCAAGGCCGTGGCGCTGCCGCTAGCGTCGCCTGGCGACCTCCTCTCGCACGTCTTCCGCGTCTGCACCCGGTCGCTCATGCAGTCCAACAAGGTATGTACTCGACAAACGACCGAATGGACCACCACCACCGCATGTGCAGTCGCTCTCGGTGCCGCAGCTGCAAGTGCTCTGCCAAGAGTACTTTGGTAAGGAGTTTGGTCTTGTCGCGCAGGCCTGCGGCGTGGCGTCGGCCGACCTCGGCCAGCTCCTATCGCCTTACGCCTACTTCCGCGTCGCCGTCACTGGCCTCTCGGCGCCGTCATCGCCCGTCGACGCGCCAAGCAACGAGTGGCTCATCCCGTCATTGCGCTGCGACTCGGCCGGTACATACTCGAATGTCCTCGACATGTTAACGACGGGTGTGGTAGATGCACTCGCTGCATTTCTCCACGCGTCGCGCGAAGGCGTGCTCGGCGTGCTCCAGCTCACGTCGGTCCTCGCGTCCAAAGAGAGTGCGCTTCTTGACGTTGTCAAGGCGCATGCGATGCTGCACGCTGCGGCGCCAAGGCGGACCTTCCTCGAGCTCTGCTGGCCGCGCGCCTCCGAGGTGACGATGCCGGCTCTCTCCAACGGACTCGTGTTTCTGCATTTGCTCGAGCGGTCCGAAGCGACGCGTGGCGGCAGCGCGGCGGCAGCGACAAGCAGCACGCACCCGACGACGCCGTTTCCGCTGAGGGACGCGTCGCCGCTCGTCTCGCTGCGCTCGTTTCGGTTTACGCCGGCGTTTGCGACGCTGTACCCGACGACGTCGGTCTTGAGCAACGCGTTTGCCCACCGCATTGACCCCAACAAGTCGGCGCCGTGACTGTACGTGGGGTATTCACGCGGTGCGTAGGGTGCTCTGTCCTTTTGAGCTCCACGGCGTCTGCAACGACGACCAGTGCAACTACCAGCACGAGCGCGACTACGCCGTGTCGTCGTCGACAGCGCTGCAAGATCTCGGACGTCTCCACCCGCTGCCCGAGACGGACGCCAGTGCCAGTGCCGAGTCGATCGCGGCGGCGTGGGTCAGTACCGTGCAAGCCGCGTCAGCAGCAGCTTCGGACGTGCTTTTCCTCCGCGGGTCCAAGGCGCCGACCAAAGCGAGCGGGGCCCACCAAGCGTGGATGGACTTTACGCAGAGCCTCGTCTCGTTGCGCAAGATGGAGTATGACTTGGGTCTCGGCTACTTGGACGAGGTACACTGCTAGTAAATGGACCCGATCGCGACGACGACGTAGGATGAACTGCCAATGCCGAGTCCGAGTCCAATGACACCGCGCCCACACCAGCAGACGAGTCTTCGGGATGCGGACCAAGATATGGAGGTCGATGACGACGAAGATTTTCTCGCGCTGCCGCCGGCCGAGCCGGTTGCGGTCCTGTCGGGGCAGCGCTACCACGCGAAGGAGTACCTTCAGCACGCCATTCACGTACGCTGCAAAGGAGCCGCTTTTGGCTTATCGACTGGTGGTAGGACTTGGAGCGACAGGTTGCGCTCAACCCCGAGGACGCCGATGCGTGGGTCTCGCTGGCGCTCATGCACCTCGACATGGAGCTGCCGCCGCACTTGTATGTCGACTGCTGTATCGGCTGCTGAGTGCAGCTTTCTTCTCGTAGGGACGACGTTGGCGTGGTCTCGAGCGACGCCCACCTCCGCCACGTACTTCAGGTCGGCCGCCTTCTCCACGGCAGCATCTCAAGACACGTAGGCGTTGCGGAGCCGGTTCCACGCAGCCTCGAAAGAAAAGGAGGATTTGGCGCTGGAGAAGACGCTGCACGTGCTCAGCCGCGCGCTGGAGATCGAGGCAAATGTATACAACAAGACGCTCTGGCGCCTCTACTTGGCTTTGTACCCAGACGACGCGACGCGCCAAGAGCTGGCGCAGGAAGCACTTCGTTTCCTGCCGGCGTCCCGGTCGCTCTGGCTCACCTTCTTGGACCGCGGGCGCTTCGAGTCGGTCGGCGTCGCCCAGGTGCTCTACTACCGGTCGATCGAAAAGCTGCTTCGGCACGGCGACCCGGACACGAGCTCTGCCATCGTGTACGCGCTCGTTCTGCGGCTCGTGGCCCTCTACGTTGGCGCGGGCCAGATCGCGGCGGCTTATTCGCTGCTCTTGTCACTCTTGGTACCCGAGAAGGCCGACGCCAAGCCCCTCTGCTTTGCGTCATTTGAGTTTCACGTGGCCGAGTACTGCCAGCTCTGGCTCCTCCTCGTGCATCTCGATGCCTTTGGACGCCTGCCCGACAACGTCTTGGAGAAGGCGACGGCGCTCGACTGGGTCGTCGTGCGCTGCGCCGAGCGACTGGCGTCCGACGCGATGCTGGCGCTGGCCGTGGCCAACATGCCCCAGGATGCGTCGCTCTTCAACGCGGTGCTCCTCCTTAATTACCTTGTGCTCTGGCCTGCTGCACGCGCCGACGTATTGCCCAAGCTTGTCGACGCGTTGTCGATGGCGTCCGTCGCCGACGACGACGTCGTGACGCTGCTGCATCACGCGCACACGATCGTCGGCGGTGACGCGGCGCTGCCGACACCGGCGTCGGACTCGCCGGCGCACCTTGTGTACAGCAAGAACGTGTCCAGCTTGTATCCGCGCGGAGCCGTCGACGCGCCCGACGTGTGGGCTGACAAGCAGCTGCTGTCGTGGGCCGATGCGTTTATCGACGGAGAGGGAAGCGTCTTTACCGGCCTGGCGCTGCTCGAGTTCATTGCAGCAGTCGCGGGGTCGCCTGTCGCGTCGCGGCAGCTCGACTGGCTCTTGCAGCGGCCGCGATTCAAGTCGAGTGTTCATGTGCGTGCGCAGCAGACGCTGTGGTGCTACCGTCTCCACCTCGAAGACGCTCTGGACGCGGTCGAGGCCGTATGGAAACGGTACTTGGCGTTCGCGGCCGACGACGCCATGCCCGTTGCGAGCGTCCGCGCGGCCGTCGACTGGTGTCTCTCGCCGCCAACCCATTCGGCGGCGCTGAAATTTGGCGTCTTCCAAGTGCTCCTCCGCGCGCTGCCGAGCTCGATGCATGCGGCGCTCTTTGCGCGGTATCTCTACGTCCTCGGCGGCCACCCGCCGTACCTCTTGGCCTTTGCGAGTAGACAAAAGATGCTACCTCTTATGGCAGAAACTGAGCGCTGTATGTGTAGGCACGTCGCTCACGGACCGCCACCGAAGCAGTCTCAAGCACGCGGTTCGTGCGTGTCTCGAGAATACGCACGTGGGCGACGCCGACCTCGTCGGCCTCGCTGTGCGCCTCGAGCTGCTCGTTGCGCCGACGCGCGCGTCGATGCTTCGTGTTCAGTCGCTCTTGCGGTCGTCGGTGCGGCGCAACCCCGTATCGGCTGCGCCGTGGCAGCTTGCGCTGTCGCTGGAGCTCGCGCTCGGAAAGCAAAAGGCGTACGCGGACGCTGCGTCCTTCTTGGCGCCGACGTGGGTCGAGTGTGGCGTCAACGTGAGCGCAATGAACCGAAGCCACGCTGCGTGGGCAACTGCCTCCGCCATTGACGTCTCGAGCCAGCGGCTCGTCCTGCTGCCGCCTTCGCTCTTGATGCTGGCGCACCTCGCCGAGCTGGATCTGTCGAGAAACTGCCTCTTGGAGCTGCCCGAAGCGCTCGGCCGGTCGTTCCCGCAGCTGCGAACCCTCAACGTGAGCTGCAATGCCCTGCGACGCCTGCCCGACGCGATCGGACACCTCAAGTCGCTCGAGGTCCTCGACGTTGGCCACAACCACTTGACCGAGCTCCCGCTGCTGCTAAGCCACCTCACCAAGCTCACGGCGCTCGACGTCTCGTACAACCTCCTCGCGACCGTGCCCATGACGCTGCGTGGCCTCAAGCAGCTGCGCCACCTCCGCGTCGCCGGCAACATTGCGGCCGTCGACGCGTGGCGGCGTGTCGTGCCTGGCGCGGGCCTGGACGGCGGCAGCAGCTGCTCGCTTTGCCAGGACGGACGCCACACGCAGCGGCTCAATGGCGTTTTGCTCTGCCCCCGCTGCATCATTCAGGCAATGGCGCCCCTGCTCTAAATTTAATCGCAAAACTCTTTCCCATTTCAAGTCTGGTCTCAACCCCCGAACGATGCAGAGCACGATGGCGTCGCCACCCAAAGCCAAAGCGCCGGACGCCGCCTTTCTCGAGAAGCTCGCCTTGGACGCGGGCCACGTGCATGTAGTCCCTGCATCTCGTGGCGCCACGTCATCGTACGCGCTTGTGTAGGTCGAGCTGGCGACGCCGGCCCGTCCGCTCAAGGTGCTCGTCGGGTACGCCCGTACAGGATGATGTCGAGAGCCATGGAGTGCGTAGGACGTGGAACGTCGGCAACAAGATGCCGCCGTCGACGCCCGAGGGCCTCCACGCGTGGATTCCGGAGCGTCCGTGCTGCGTTAGATTGAGTGGGTGCCAAGATGCTGCGGTAGATGGCGGCGATTTTGACGTGATCGCTATCGGGCTCCAAGAGAGCTCGTTCAAGAAGCACGCAAGCAGCCACGAGGTGCTCGAGAAGACCGAGAGCATCGACGATGAGGACGAAGACGACGACGACGCGACCGCCGCCGCCGACGTCGACCCGGCACCAGCAGAGCCCAATGAGGTAGCAGTAGCAGTGGAGACGACCGAGCTGCCGGTGCTCGTCAAGTCGGCGTCGTCCAAGCGCAGCCTCTTGCCCCACTACGCGTTTTTCCAGCAGCTCGAAGACCACGTCGGCGCCTCGTACACCGTCGCGGGCTCGATCGAGCTCATGGAAATTCGGCTCATCGTGTTCGTTCACACGCGAAACAAGGTGGGACCTCTCCGTCTCGGCGCCTCCTGACGCAAGCAATAGTGCACCGACGTGGAGAAGACGACCGAAGCGACGGGCGTCGGCAACGTCATTGGCAACAAGGTACGACTCCATCTCTCGCCGCCGTTCCGACAACCCGTTAGGGCGGCGCGGTGCTCAAGCTCGTCGTCGACGGCGTCTCGCTCTGCTTTGTCAACTGCCACCTCGCGGCCCACGAAGCGCAAAAGTTCCTCGACCGCCGCAACAGCGACGTCGATATTAGCGGTGACGTGGCAGCGGCTCATGCGATTGCCTGATGTAGTGCGCCGAGATCCTCAACGGCGCGCGCATCGGGCACAAGTCGCTGAGCTTGGACCACCAGTTTGACCACGCGTTTTGGTTTGGTGACATGAACTACCGCATCAACCTCGAGTACTCGTCGCCGACAGCGTCCAAGGACACGCACTGGGACGACGTCCATGCGCTCGTGCTCGCCAAGGTCCGTCTCGTCTCTTCCATGAAGGCTAATGAAATCCCGGTAGGACTATGCGCAGCTCAACGCGAACGACCAGCTCGCGCACCAGCTCGCGGACGGAAAGGCGCTCGTGGGTTGGCACACGGCGCCGTGCCTCTTCCCGCCCACGTTCAAGCGCGTGCGCGGCCAAGTGCACGAATTTACAGTGCGTCGATGAACGTCGTCGCCAACTGAGTGCGTCGTAGCGCCAGCGCGTCCCGTCGTACTGCGATCGCATCCTGTGGACGTCGCTGCCCGGCTACGCCAAGCACTTGACGCTCACACAATACGACTGCGTCGAGTCCATTACGACGAGGTACGACGAGCAACACTTTGGACGCGCCGTCGACAACATGTAGCGACCACAAACCGGTGTTTGGTGCGTTCGAGGTCGGGCGCTACGCGCCGCAGGTGCCTCCGACGCCAACGCGGCCGCACCAGGTTGGTCTACCTCGGTATCATGGTTGACGCAAGCGGCGTAGAGCTTGGAGGTGTCCTTTGCCGGCGTCTCGGCCGAGAACCTCCTCGCGATGGACTTGACGGGCACGAGCGACCCTTACGTAACCACCTAGATATATCATGGACTATGCGACATGACCGAACTACTAGATCAAATTCTACTGCACGATCCCGGGGCTCCTCGTCGACGACGAGGCGGGCAAGCACCATCCGCACACCGGCATCGTCAAGGCCACCGTCAACCCTTCGTGCGTCCCGACTGCGATCACATCATTGGGCTAAGGCTAAAGTAGGTGGAGCGACGACGTCATGCCAACGCTCAAGATCAAGGCGCGGCTGCACGAGCTCGAGAAGGTGCATCTTGTGCTCGTGCTCATGGACTACGACGCCACGTCCGCCGACGATGCCCTTGGTACAAAGCCATCTTCCGGCGGACATGAATGACCGAGAGTCGTAGGCGAAGTGGTGCTGTGCCTTGCTGACTTCTACGCGCAAGACGCCGGCGTCGACTTTGAGCGCAAAGTGGTCAAGAACGGGGTCGGCGCCGGCATCCTCCGCGGTACCGTCACGGTCACGCCGTCGACCAAGGCGCTGGCCGACTGGGAAAAGCCGCCGGGGTCGTCCGCCGTGCCGGGCTGCACGTGCGCCACCATGTAGCTAGGCAACTGTGCATAGAGAATGGTTATATAGTGCGTTACGCCGACGACATGAGCGTGTCCTTTTCGTTCACGAGCGCAGCAAACTGCTTTTGGAGCTCGACTTCCTTGAGCTGGAGCGCGTCGACTTCGCGCGCGACCTTGACGAGGCGCAGCGGCAAAGCGCTGGCTTCGAGCGCCTGGAGGTTGGCAAAACAGTGGCGATCCCGCTCCGACTGGAGCCACGAGGCCTGCGTCGTCTGGAGCGCGGACCCGAGCGACGCGCACTTGGCTTCGTACCCGCCGTGGAGGATCTGCGCCTTCTGTTCGAGCTTACTCGCCTTCTTCTGGAGCTTGGCGTCGATTTCGTGCAGCCGCTTGAACTCGGCCGTGAGCAGACGCACTTGGTGGTCGAGAGGCAAGGTTGCCATCTCCAATACCGAGCGCTCGGTCGGGTCCCACACGTACGCGTCCTGCAGCGCATGCCAGGTCGTCGCCCCGAGCTCCGCGTCGGCCGGATGCAGCTTGGCCTCGAGTGCGACCTGGCTGCGCGCGTGGTGGAGTGCCTCGTCGGAGATCTCGGTCAACAGCGGTTTCTTCTTCTTGGACGACTTGGTCGTCTTCTTGCTGCTCCCGTCCGCAATGTCAAACGCGAGGAGCGCGCGGAGCTCGTCGGCCGCGGGACCATCCAGCGCCGACAGCGTCGAGCCCTCGGCGTGCAGCGGGCGCGGCAGGTTGCGCTGCACCGCGCTGGACCGGCGCAGCGCGGCCTTCTCCGCTTCTTTGGCCGCCGCCGCCGCCAAGCGGGCCTCACGCTCGCTGGCATCCTCGGTAAAGTTCTCAGCGTGTTCCTTGTCGTCGACGACGTCGGGCATCGCAAGCTCGTACTCGTTCTCGGCCGACGGCAGCTTGGCAAAACCCATCTTGAGCTCCTGGGCGAGACCGCGACTGCGCGCCTTCTCCGCTTTGCGCGACGCGTCGAGGCCGAGAAGCGGCTCGGCGTTGATGCCGAGCTGGTCGCGCATTGGCGTCCGAAGCGACGACTGCGGCGTCCGGAGGGCCGACGCGAGCGGCGTCGCCTTGATGAGGTTGCTGCGGGGCGTGATGCCGCCGTAGCCTGTACCCGCTTGCAGCTCGACGTTCTCGCCACCCATGAGCGGCGTCTGCGCACGCGCCAAGGCGGCCTGGTTCGCCGCTTCTTGGAGCAGCGCTTCGCGGGAGGAGCTCGCCGCCGTCGCACGCGCGGGCGTAGCATGCTGCTGCGGCGTCATCTCGTAGTTGGTCAAGAGCGCCTGAGTCGACTGCGCGTGTTCGAGTGCGAGCATTTGCGCATGGGCAATGTCCTCCGCCCCTTGCTTGGCCAGCGCCGAGAGCTCGTCGTTCGAGACCATTGGCGCCGGAAGCTCGAGCGGCTTGCGCTTGATCATCGTGCTCGGGTCGTTGAGCGCGTTCATGGCCGCGATCTGCTGGGGCAGCGACGTCGTGAGCAGCTTCTTTTGACGACGAGCATCCATGCGGCGGTTCTTCTTCTCCTCCGCGTCGCGACGAACACCCTCGAGCTTGTCGAGGTACAGCGCCGCTGCCTTCGGATCCAGCGCACCGCCGGCCGTGGCCTTCTCCGTGCTCACGTCGTAAAAGCCGACGGGCGCCTTCTTCTCGAACGGAATCTCCTTGACGTAGTCGATGTACGTCTTGCGCCGCTTGACCTTGAAGACCGTGCCTGTCTCGCGGCTCCGGTCAAAGTTGATCCCCGCAGCCTTCAGCTCGCGCCGCTTTTGCATCGAAGCGAGGCGCTTCGCTTCCTGCAGCTGCTTTTCGCGGGCCTTGCGCTTCGCCTTCTTGCCCTTCGTGTTGGCCAGACGTGCGCGGGCCTCCGAGAGCATCTCCTTCTCGTCTTCATCCATGTCGATGGGATCGGGGCGCGCCGGCTTGTTCTCCGGGTTCGGGTCGATCTCGCCAGGACGCAGCCGGCGCGGGTCGTCCGCGTTCTCCGTGTCCTTGGACTGCGCAGCATCGAGGAGCTTCTCGTAGTGCTCCATGCACTGGGCAGCCGTCCGGCCGACGATCGGAGCGATCGTGCGCCACTGCGATGGCATGAGCTTGGCTAGGTGCAGCAGCTTCTCCTCTTCCTCGCGGCTCCACTCGGTCTTCTTGATGCTCGGATCCAGCCATTCGTACCAGCGCGCCTTGCACTGCTTGGCCGACTTGCGCGCCAGGAGCGACGCGACGCGGGCCCACTGGTTCTTGCCGTACTTCATGACCGCGGCCTTGAGGATCTCATCCTCCGTGTTCTTCCACACGCCCCCCTTGATCATGACCCGCATGGTTGCTTCCTTGGCGTCCTGGAACCGCTCGTCCCAGAATGTGGCAATATGAAACAAGGATTTTGCCGAAATATAGGGCCAGGGCCGAAATCTAATTGCACGCACCCTTAACGAGCTGCCCATTCCAGACTGGAAACGGCTCAGCCTGCGAGGGCGCTAGCTATAAAGAAGCGTAGGGGCGAGGTGCTTTAACCTACCTACCCCACGAGCGCTACCGGGCCATGCCTCACTTGCATTCATCTACCAGCAAAAGGCGAATGCCAATGCATTCGAGGCATTGTCCTAAACAGGATCTTCTTAACGGCTAGCCGTTCATCTTCCAGAGTAGCCGACCGGTTTGGATCTCGGTTGGAGGCAATTTTGAACATGCGCTTTGCCTGCCCGGATCCGGCCTGCGGGATCGGCACGAGCGTTCCTCCGGCCGCCGATGTTCCTGCAGAACTGCGCACGCATGGGCTCGAGTACGCAGTCCAATGGTTCGTGCTTCTGATTCGCATCGCCGATGCCAGCTTATGTCGTTGCTAGCCTCGGCTGCCTCAGCTTCGCATTCCCGTGCGACGCCTGCCACAAACTGTCGCCGATCAAGCATGGCCGCGCGGGACTGCTCGTGTGTGGCCACTGTGGCTTCATGGAGGTGCTCGAGGAGTCTGTTCGGAAGGCGCTTCAGCTGCCGCCGTTGCCGATCGAGGTAGCCTGCAACATCTTCGGCGCCAATACTGGAAAGGCGTAGGACGCACTGCGCAACGAAGTCGTGCACATTCGAGCCGTACAAGAGCAGCTCGCCGCCGCCAACACGCGTGCGTCTTCATGTCATGCTTGACAAACCACCACTCTCAACGACCATAGCGTCTCAAATCGGCTCGACGCCAACGCTTCGAGCCAAGGTATCGGAGCTCCGAGGGTCGTGGATGGCTGTACTGCAGCAGCCGACGCAGAACGCCAACAGCGTCACGTGCAGCCTCACGGTATGACAATATGGAGGCGCCTGCTGGTTGGTAAACACGCGTATGTAGATGCTCAAGCTCTTGCCGTCGACGGCCGAGGCAACGCCGGTAGACGCTGCCGAACTCGTAAGCGTCTCAGCATGCTCTAGGACGACCAAGAGTGGATGGCATCGACCATCGAGTCGTTTTACCAGCAGCGGCCGCAGCTGATCCAGCTACGAGATGCATCGACGCAGTCGCTCGAGCTCGAGGCGCAGCTCGTGGCCAAGGTTCGATTGCTTGTACGATGGCTACCGCACACTACCACTGTAGAAGGCGCTAAGTGCTGCGGCGCTGAGCCACTTGCGGCGCTACGAGCCGTCCCAGTCGCAGCAATTTGAGGCGCTGACGTCGCCTTTCTGGGCACTCGTGGGGAAGGCCAACGCCCAGTTGCGGCGCCTCGTTGCCACCGCCCGCGACCTTGAGAGCGCCTCCGCAGACCCGTCCTCGACAACGAGCAGTGCTCCGAGTACGGCCGCAACGTGGGCCAACCCCCGTAGTCGGCGGCGCGCCCGTTCGGTGGCCGCTGCCGTGTCGCCCCACGACCTCCGCCTCCGTGTGCTCGCCGAAGAGTTCCAACTCTGGCGTCACATCTGCCGTGAAATTGCTAGCGTCTGTTGCTCCGAGCAGTAGTTAGTCGATTAGTCAAGGTACTAGCTGTTGAAGATACGCGTGTAAAGCTGATCGTGGCGGCCTTGGACTAAGTCCAGGTACGGCGCCGACTGGTACGCGTCGTCCACAGGCCGGTCCTTCCGCGTCTGTAGAACGGTCTCGGCCACTTCGGCGAGCTGCATCTGGAGCTTCGCGCTCTCGATGGGCCCCACGAGGTTTAGCCGCGTCGCTGCGCTCAGAATGTCTCGCAGCGTAAAGAAGAGAAGGAGCCGCTGGCTCGCGAGACTGTCGAGGCCCAGCGCACCGCAGAGCGTACCAAGCACGACCACGTGGTGGCCCACCGGGCGCGTCTGCTTGATCGCGCGAAGCACGGGGAGGTGCGAGTACGTCTGCGTCGCCACGCGCAGCAGCGCGGTGCCTTGTGCGATGGACGCTCGGCGCGCGACGTGGTTGGTCGTCATGGCATGCGCGAGCGCATCGAGGCGCGCAAAGTTCTCGACACAGGGGTTCGCGTGGGCCTCGCAGAGGAACGGAAGTAGGAGGTTCCCGGTTTGGTACAGCGCCGAGACGACGAACTGACGCAGCGTCGTCGTGTTGGTCACGATCTTCTCCTGCACCGCGCTCTCAAGGCCCTACGTGAGCCATAGCATCATTCCGCTCGCTCCTAAGCGCCTACGAGCGAGTGGGCAAAGCCGCCCGTCGGGTACAGCGAGTCCACGAGCTGCCACGTATGCCACTCCATCGTACTGCCGGCGTCGATCGAGGGAACATCGCCTGACGCTATATTATCCGGACAACAATATCCGGATATTACTGGTATCCGGAAAGAAAGTCCAGCATTGCTGCAGCTGGACCGACAAAGCTGCTGGCAACGCAGCGCAGTTGCGCGCGTGCAATCTGTCGTTCTGATCGCGACGCCGTCGGCCGCGGCGTCCATACCTGGTGTCGGTAGACATCGCACCAAGCGGCTTGTCGTGCAGATATGGACGCGACATGACCACAACGTATGGCTATCAGCCGCCGAGCGGCGCCAGTCCGCCGAGTCCCACGCTTTGGCTACTTCGCTTCCGCGACCGTGTTCTCTTGGAGTGCAACCCGCGCAACATCTCAGACCAAGCTGATTCAACTGGTGGTCCGTTTGGATCGTTTGGATAGTACGATGGATAGTACGATGGATAGTTGTGGCGTGCGTCGTTGACCTTGCCGAGGAGGCCAGCCCGCCCTTTACCGACGCCATGGCGCGCTCCAATCGGAGCGTCCGTCGAGCCAGCACGTGGCTTGACGTCCAATTGGCACTTGAAGTGCGCGCGCTTCCACGCGCATTGCTGGTCGGTCGCATACAAAGACCAAGTGCAAGCGTAAGCAACAGCTGCGTGAGTTCCAAGGTAGTGTAATAAATTGCCAGTTCATCGAAAGAATGTATTCGGAGCCGCCAAATAAATTAAAATGCTACGAGTGCGACCAAAGCCCGATTCCGAAACTTGGATCGAGCATGGGATTCCGCGATCTCGCCTGTAGCGCGCAAGCATGGACGGCTACAAGTACCTGCTCGCCAAGATGAAGGCGAGCCGCGGCAACCAAAGCCGGCTAGGCAGCTTCGCCTCCGTCGGCTGCGCGTCCTACGACTTCCACGGCGACGACGCGGTCGGCTACGGGCCCAACTACATGGTGGTCGCAGACGGCGTCTCGGGCACGCAGAAGGCCTCGGGCGTCCTCGCCCGCCTGCTCGTCGCCGAGACGTTGAATGGTCTCGAGAAGCTCCGCCGGCGAGCGCTCGAGGAGCCTATCAAGACGACGGACTTTCGGAACCAAATGGCGCTGGCGATCCAGGAAGCTCGCCACATGACGCGGCGCAAAGGTCGGTTCGACTCGGCGCTCACGGCCGTGTACCTCGACGCATCCACGAGCCAGCTCTTCGTCTTCAACATTGGCGACTGCAAGTGCGTGCTTGTCCGGAACGGCGCTGTCGTCTTTGAAAGCGACGCGATCATCTACGATTTCAACGTGCCGGCCGTCGTCTCGACGCACAACGACATCCATTACCCGAGCGAGTCGGTCGAGCTGCAGGTCGCGACCTACATGCCGGGCGACATTTGCATGGTCTTCTCAGACGGCGTCCACGACAACTTGTACGTCGACCAAGTCCTCCGCGCGATTGCCGCCCACCCCGCGCATGGCACCGACATTGCGCGAGCAACGGTCCGTGCATGCCGAGATACGTTCGCCGGCAGCACCGACTTTATCCCGTTTGCTGTTGCGGCTGCCGGCTTTTGCGCGACGGCCATGGAGGAGATGAAGACGAACGACGCCATCTCGGCCGAGGACTTTGACGCGTTTGAGAAGAAGTGCGCGGGTCTCCCGGGCCTGGACCGGCCGATCTTTGGGAAAGAAAAACGCGTCAAGAACCTCGCCTTCTACTCGGCATCGAACCTGCTCACGTTTGCGGGCAAGAAGCTCGGGAAGAAGGACGACATCTCCGTGTGCTGTGGCATCATCGCCTAACCCTCCCGGTCGTTTCGCAGTTAGTTTTCTTCCTTGTCCCCATGTCCGTACTAGTATACTACCACAAATAGTCCTAAGTATATATTAAGCTAAAATATTTCCTTGCTACTCGATGTCGCATGCAGAACTTGGGCTGTTGACGCGACGTCCAAGCTTCTCGTGCAGCTCGCTTCTTCCGTCGAGACGGCTCGGTGTGTCGCTACCAAGCCACGCCAGCCTCTGGGGCTCCTCAAGGACGAGCGATTGTCAAGCCTACCCTCCAACCCTCCAGCACTTGCGGGATCAGAGGGCTGTGTGCAACGAGTACTATATGGTCAGACGTGCGCGCGTGCAGCGCCACGTCATTTGAAGTTTCTCGGCCAAGAAAATCCTCCTTCCGCGTCTCGCGAAGGGTTCCTACCATGCAGGACGCGTCAGCTAGATGTCGGCAGCCGCGCTGGGATAAGGACCAGGTGGGATCCTCCCCGTCGGTGGTCCCACTCTGACCACCCAATGGAGGTGCGAGCGTCCACCGCGCAGAGCTGCGGAGCGAGGTGCTGAGCGGCAGCGAAGACATGAAACGCTGTGGGTTCTAGATTTGCCGACGCAATTGCGGCGCAGTTTTGGCGGATTCACTGACCATCTGTATAGAAGCGACGCGATTTGAGTCGGTCGCCGAGTGGGATCGCTCGCATGACAAGCGTCGCATTAATAAAACCGGAATTTTGCGGCGATTCAAATTTTATAGCCCGGCGCCCGCTGTCTTAGAACACGCAGCTGGGCCTTTTTTTTTACTTCTTGTCGTCAGAGCTAGAAAAGAAGCGTTGGGCAGATATGTCGTCGTCGTCGTCGTCCTTGTCGAAGCGCAGCGTGTCCATGTCGGAGCCGCCCGTGAACCGCCGCCAGCGCTCGCGGGACATGCGCTCGCTCGACGCGGCGGCGGCCGAGCTGCACTCGAACCAGGCGCCGAGCCCGGCCAAGATCGACTTTGAGTCGATCACGTTCTTCCTCTCGGTGAGCGACCTGAACCTCCAAGCGCCGGCGAGCGCCACCGACAGCCTTCTCCGCGGCGCCATGAGCTTCTTCCACAAGGCGCCGGCGCCGACGAAGACGGTCGTGCCCGAATCCTTGGTCCACATTGACCTGCAGAGCCGCCTCCGCGACACGATTCCGTTCCAGACGGAGAAGATCCGCAGCCGGAACCCCAACTTCTCGCTCGGCATCTCCGTGCCCATCACTGCACAGGAGGTCAAGGCACAGGTTCTCTGCTTCAGCATTGTCTTGACCGAGGAGGGCGGCGGCAAGACGGTGGCATATGCCGAGCTGCCCATGAAGGACCTCGTGCGCAAGTACCTGCACAACGCATCGAACCTGCATTTGCAGCTCAAGGTTCTCTCACACATCCACACGGCGCCGACACAAACGACGTCGGCCCGCGGCGCCAAGCCCGGCGGGTTCCTCACACTCAAGCTCGCCCGCGTCGCGCGGCAGGCGCACCCGCTCCTCACAACCCAAGACACGATGATGCGCAGCTACGCGTTCTACAACGGCGAGTACTCGACGCCGATGATGGCGACGGAAGAAGTCGCGGAAGTCGACCTCTACACAAAGGTGCCCAAGCTCTTCATGCACCACATGCTGCTCGAGTGGCGCACGCGGCTGAGCCAGTGGCAGCAGCACGAGATCCCGACCTCGGACCTCTTCCAGAGCAGCGACCCGGCCATCGACCGCGTCTTTCGCGAGATGGTCACGCTGCGCGCGCCGTCGTCGATGCTCTCGGAGGACTTTGTCGAGGACTACCTCGCCGAAGTCTCCAAGCAGGTCGACATGATCAAGGACATGGCGGTGCTGGCCGAGCTCCTCGAGGAGAACCACGTCATGTTCAAGCCGAGCTCGACCAAGGAGAAGGTCGAGAGCCTCGCGATGGTGACCAACCTCCACCTCTCGTACTTCAAGCTCTACTGCGGCGACCAGCCGTTCTTACGGCTGCGGTCGCAGTCGATGGATTTTTCCGGTGGCGACGCCTTCGACAAGCAGCGCACGTGGTCGGGCGACTTGGACTCGCGCATCTCGGTCGCGACCTTGCCGACACCGACGACGGCGGACAAGGGCAAGCACCGCCGCGCGTTCCGGTCCAACTCGATCGACCACAGCATCGCCGAGCAAGAGCCGGCGTTCGTGCCCCGCGAGCGCAGCGGGTCGATCGACTTTGAGACGCCGGAAGCCATCAAGGCGACGTTCGAGATCGACACGCTCGCGTCGATCCTCACGTGTGCGATCCCGTCGGCCGAGGCGCTCGACGTCGACTGCCACGGGCTCATGGATATGGAAGAGGCGCTCGTGGAGCTCGCTCTGCAGATCAAGTCGGCGCCCACCCAGCCCGCGACGCCCAACAAGCACCGGATACCGACGCCGGTCAAGAAGAGCGCGCAGCCGAGCCCGCGGCCGCCGCACCACCAGCACACGCCGCTGTCCAATCAAGACGACGACACGCGCTCGAGCTCGCACGGCTCGTCGTCCAACAGCACGGACGACGGGATGGAGACGCTGACGCGGTCGGCGCGGCGCATGAACACGTTTACTAACCTCGTGGGCGAAAAGGTCAAGCGCACCATGTCGTCGGCCAAGATTCGGTCCGACTCGATGGACTGGGTCATCAAGCAGACAACGGGCGTCAAGGCCATCGAGCCGCCCTCGATCGCGTCGCTGTGGCAGCAGTGGGAGATGCTCAAGCTCCGGTACCTCTTCCGGAAGAGCGTGTGCATTTCGCAGAGCCTCACGGTGCTCCTCACGGCGTTTCTGACCAAGCTCGAGACGGCCGACAGCGACGACATGGAGCAGCTCGTGCGCGTCGGCCTTCTCGTCGGCTGGGAGAGCCTCTGCTACCCGGCGGGGAAGGAGTACAAAATGCTCTCGGACGCCTTTGTCGCCATCAAGTTTCTCGAGCATTTTGAACTGACGATCGCGTGCGCGCCGGAGAAGCCGTTTAGCCTCTCGGTCGTACACGGCCGGTTCCGCGTTGCCGTCGGCGTGCCCGCGGCCCACTTTGCGTCGCTCGACCATCGGCTCCAGGGCGGCCACGTGATCAAGGTCTCGAGCGTCCTCTTCACGCAGGGCATCAACGAGATGCAGTCGCTGGCCACCATGGTCGGGTCCGCCGCCGGCCTCACGCTGCAAGCGCGCGTGAACCGCGAGAGCTTTCAGTCGCTGCAGCAGTACCACCGCGCGTTCCTCGAGATGCAAAAGGAGCTCAACGTGTCGATGCGCTTCCGGCTCAACAACGACACGATGCTCGACGCGCTCATGCCGCTCGTGGGCCGGAACGCGAGCAAGGTCAAGGCGCCGTCGCACACGTGGATGCTGCTAGAAGCTTCGGACATTACGCGGCGCCTCAACGGTGTGCGCGTCACGTGCTGCTCGACGGGCGCGGACCGCGCGGCCATGTCGGCGACGCTGGAGCAGGCGCGAATCCTCTACTCGAAGCGGTCGGCCAACACGAACGCGAGCAACGAAGACAACGAGCTGCTCAAAGCGCGCGCCAACACGATGCGCGAGTACGGCGTGCGGATCGCCGTCGCCATGAAGAACTCGGGTCGCTACGAGTACGCCTTCAACTCGATCCAGCGAAAGCTCCTCCCCGAGCTCTACCGACCGCCCGTCGCAACGATCCAGGACATGGCCTCGTCCCTCTTTTAAGACTTATATAAATCTAATACTATTGGGCATAAGACTCGTAGAAGATGCAGCGACTTGCAGCAGCAAACCCCGTTCGGGTGCAGTACCGGGACCAGTCTACACGGCAGGGCGGTGTAATGCTGCCACGTTGGGCACCGGGCTGGTCGCCGCAGCCGCGCCGGTACATGGACGCTGCTTGCACCAACGGCACGGTCATGAAGCTCAAGAATGCGCGCGCCAATTGCTTGATGTCATCGCCATCGGGCGTGTCTTCCATCCTGGCGGCCGTGTCAACGTTGGCGGTGCAGCTCGGCTCAACGAGCCAGCATCGACCGTCTTGCACTAAGAAACGCTAGAGCTATCATTGCATGCAGCACCTTCATTGTAGAAGAAGGCTACTTGTCCATGGACCTTGCAGCGCAGCGACTTCGCAGAGCTACGGTCATCGTCCACCACAGCATTACGGCCAGCGTCGTCCTTCCGCAGCGCAGCTGATCAACGATGCATCGTTTCCGGATGGTCGGATACGAGTCCTAGTTGCGTGCGATAGGCTGGCCGAAATTCATGGGATATGTCCTGTTTTTGTCGCTTATTTCGGGCAGCCGATGAAACCAGGACACTTGCGCGATGACCGACGTCGTGGTCACCGAGGAGCGCATCGGCGACGACCTGCGGTCCGTGCGCGACTTCGAGGTCGGGCTGCTACTCGGCCACGCAGGCAGCATGGACGTCATCGTCACCCATGTCCCGACGCCACCAGAAGACGGTAAGACGACGTCCTGCGTCAGCAACGGACGCACGCCATCGTCGTAGTGGCAGTGTCGAGGCTCGCCGAGTTGTCTGTCGACTGGATGTCTGCGCATGCGAAGTCCGTGCTCTGTATGCTTCCTGGTGGTATCGACTGCCTTGGGATGTACGTGGTCACGACCGAGGAGCCCCGCGCGCTGCTTGCGATGCTCTGTCGCTACATGTGCGCACTCCAGGCGATCGGTCGCGACATGGGCTCCTCGATGGACAGCTTGTACGTGCTATGCGTCTCGCCCAGTAGCTCCACCATATTGAGCAAGCGCTTCCAGGTGCAGGATGACGGCGGTCTCTGGTCCGAGGTCGCCTCATGCCTACGGTAGGCGCCGTCGTGGTTTGTCGAGGCCCGGCTCCAGTGGCAGCCGACCGAGAGTCTCTTGCGACGCTACGAAGCTACCATCCGCATCGACGTCAGTCTGCCAAGCCTCGCGCCGGCCGTCGTGCGTGCGTCCGTGGTGCCGCTGCTGGCGCACGCGATTCCTATCGCGGGTCGCGATCCCGGGCGCGTCCACTTTCTCGAGCGAGTGTCGACCAATGATCTATCAGCTGTCGCCGCAGCTACTCGGCCATCGACGTCACCTTGCCGTGCGTTGCACCTCGAAGGTTCTGTCACGTGCTGTGCGTATGCACTCGAGAGCGTATGACATGACGGGGATCGGCGGCTTCAATCTGCATGCGTAGGCGCTTCTGGGCGAGACGCTGCGACGCGACTTGGAGCGAACGATGGCGCGCCGCGCCGACCTCTTGGAGACGAAGGACGACGTCAGCAGCTGTCGTCGACGAGGTATTCTTGCGACGGCGCATCGCATGGACTGTGACATGATGCGTTTAAGCAGGTGACCACCCGCGCAACGTGGCAGTGGCTCGGCGCGCGCAATTTCGATGGCCGCGAAGTGGGTTCCTCACTGGCAACGTGCATCTCTTGACGGACGGCGATCTGTCGGACTGCGCCCATGCGATCGCGCAGCTCTTGACATCACCCACGCCCGTCGAGCTGCAATGGGTCGAGATGGAAGCCAGCCTCCTCGTGACCAACGATGCATCAATGACTACAACGCGCGTCAAAGCGTGGCATCATCCCTCGCTCTTTCCGGCGCTTCTTGCGGCCTGCGTCGCGACCCTCTTTGCATATTTGGCAAAGTCAACCCAAATGTAGTCAAACGCGTGTCGCGAATTCATTGAATGTCTGATAAATAAGGTGTTATAAGCGTAAATAAGGGGGCGTCTAGTAGAGGGCGGAGAAGGACCACTCGACGGCGCGCGCCGCGAGCTTCTCGGTGTGAAAGTCGCTGAACGTATGGGGGCCGTCAAACGACTCGGCGTAGTACATGTCGTTGTCGTCGTCAACCTCGGTCGACGCGTGCATGCTCATGGCCGGGGTCTCGGGAACATGGATACTAATTGGCTTAAACGACACAACGTGCTCTACGTCCGTCGGCGTCGTCTTGGGCTGCGTGCGCACTTCCGCAATGTAGTTGGCGTTCGCCTTGCAGTCGAGCGAGCAAAAGCCAGCGGCCGGGCTCAGGAACTTGAGGTAAATGTGCTTGCAGTTGGCGCACTTCTCGCGCTTGGTATCCCAGGACGCCGGTGGCGTGGCGAGGTCCTCGGACGCACTGCGCGGCCGCGTCTCGGAGAAGAGCATGTCGTCGTCGGCGTGCACCGTCTCGAGGCGGTCCGGACAACTCTGCGCCAGTCGCATGTTCTTCATCAGGCCGTGAAAGAGCGTTTGGATCATGACGATGGTGGCGGGTGAAGGAATGTTTGGAAATGAGCAAGACCAAGCGGCAACTACGGAAAGGCGCCCGCGGCAGATGGCAGCGCAAGCTCACCTCGCCAGCTGGTTTCCTCAGAACCAGCCGAGCGCTCGACGGTGCACACTGGGTGCGGCGATACTGAAACCAGCATGGCCCCTGCACCGCCTGGCAATGAGAAATTGAACTCGGCGATATCTACGGTACCCCTCTCTCGCGCCCGCTGATTGGCCAAAAGCCACTGAAATCATCCACGCGTGTCGCATGCGGACCGCGACTCAGCACGTAACGCACACTTGGTACGCGAATTTCTCCCCTTTTGATTCGTCGAAATGCCGACGTTGCCCTAAAATGCACGCTGGCGTGGCCACGTTGCAGCGATGGCACGTGCGATTCCCTTATCCAGTGTGCCAGGGCGCGAGGCCCGCATGGTGAAGACGACGTGCCAGACATAAAACGACCTGCAGTCTGCAGTCACCTCGCCACGCGGTCAAGCTGCATAGACGAACGACGTCTCGCGCTGTCACCGATCAGCATTCAACTGAGGGTCCCATGCAACGGCATAGCACCTTGCAAGCAGCGCCATCTTGGCGGCTGCAAATCGTATGCGCAAGGTGGGTTTACCTGGGTTTAGCGCGTCCGCGCCCCGCGACGGACCGGGGCGCGCTATACCAGCGTACTGTAAGCTTGGAAGATGATTGACGCGCGATCGACTGGCGACTTTCTTGACACTGGTTCGTCTGAAGCGCCGTTGTACGTACTGTAGGACCTATATCGCCTGGACGATCGTTTGAGCTGCAGGTATATTTAATTAATATACACTGCGTAGCTGCGCTGGGATGATGGGCAGGATGGCGTAGCCAAAGCCATCCATCCCAGCCCCCGCAGTAGTAGCTCGCTCGAAATTCGAACGAAAATGTGACGAGCTCTCGCGTGCGACAACACGTCGAATTCGCTCATGAAGAAGACGCGCCTGTCGCCGCAGTTGCGAACCGAGTTGAAGGCGGCAGTGCCAACGCGTGGGCTTCTACTGCATGTAAGTGCAGGTGGATGCTACTCATGCAGGTCTCGGGAAGAAAGTACCGGTAGTACGCGTCGCCTGGTTCTGGCAGCGGGAGGATTCCGATGCAAATAGACGCTGCTCCACCGACTCAGCTCCTTGGTTCAGGCTTCCACGACGCAGCTTCGACCTCTTGCGCCACAGCTTTGCGCCATGCCATTCTGGTCCAAGCTGCCAAGCTTGACGCTATCGTCGATTGGATAAAAAATCAACATTTTGCCCAATCAAAAGGAGGGTGAGATATCGCCAACTTCGCTCGCCGGTTCAGGCAGACGGTCGACCATGCGCATGCCCTCGTCGAGCAAGATCAACACCCACTCGCGCATGCACATGCAGACGCACACGAAGGAGTTCGTCTCGATATCGTCTCTCTCGGATGCTGCTGTTGCCCTGCGCGTGCTCTGCGAGGCTCACGCGCTCGGCCTCGAGAAGGATGAGCCCGACATTGTGCGGCGGACCCTCAAGACCGTCGCCTACGTCTCGGGCAAGTTGCAGCACCGCATGGGCACGCTCAAGAAGGGCGCAGGCGACGTCGGCGTGCCCCGCGTCGGCGCGACGCCCGACACGACGTCGGCCAAGTGCGCCAAGTGCGCCAGGAGCTGGAACGCCTTCCAGCGCGGCCATAACTGTACGCATTGACAACGAGGCGTGGCCTCATTGTGCGTCGTAGGCCAAGCGTGTGGCCACCTCTTTTGCGGACGATGCTTGACGCCAACGCAGCTGCCGCGCAGCTTTGGTTTCGAGTCGCCGGCCAAGACGTGCGACCTCTGCCGGACGTGGCTCGCTGAGTTTATGAATGCCAAGTACGAAGAGGCCCACTTGAGCTCGAAGAAGGAGGTGCGCACAGTGCATGACGCTCCCGAGGTAAGCCCCGTCGTCGCCTGTATGTCGATGTGCCATGGAATTCCTATAGACGCTCGCGCCAGCGGACCACTCGCCCCACGGTTCTGCTGCACCTCGGTACAATCATCGTTCATGATGCTATGGTGTAGCGTTTGTCGAATTGCTCAACAGCGCGCTCGAGAAAGGGCTCTCGCCGAGCCTCCGTGCACGCCTCCAAGAGGTCTTTGATATGTACGGAGCGACGCCGCACGCCAAGACCAAGGCCATGTCCGAGCTCAAGACAGCGATGTCGTGTCTCCTCGCCGACGTGCCCGAGGACGAAGACGACGACGAGGACGACGACGACGACGACGAGACTGCTGTCTCGGACGCGACGAACGCGTCAGTCGCCACCAAGAGCCTTGTCCCGACCTTCCCCAAGGTTGCGCTGCAGACCGTGCTCAGCCTTATGGTTGCGCTCGAAGCTGTCGACTGGACGCTCGATGGTAAGGACGACGATGACGACGACAAGGGCCACGATGATCCCGACCAAGCTGCGGCACGCGCGCGGCTCTCGTCAGCGGACCATCGGCTCTCGACCGACCCTTCGGTGGCGCTTCTTCGGCGCGAGACGCCGATGCTCGAGTACCAAGAGAGCACGGTCGGCTCCAATGATGACGATGATCTCAAGTCGCCGGCGACGCCGCCGCTGCCGCCCGCGATGGTCGAGTATTTCATCGTCAACCGCACCGAGACGAGTCCGCTCTTTGCGTCGTCGGCCAAGAAGGACGATCGGTGCCGCATCGAAGTGTTTACGTACCAAGGCATGATCCGCGTCAAGTCCATCTTCAACATGAACCGCCGGTTCACCTTCCGCATCTCGGACATGCAGCTCGTGCAGTTGGAGAAGGAGTATTTGCGCTGGACGTTCCCGTACCGGTCCGAGCTCGTGCTGCAGTTCCAGAACGAAGCCGCAAAGCACCACTTTTGCAAGCTCATTCAAGCCTACTTGACGACGCTCGACCCGAGCACGAAGCTCAAACGGACCTTGCCGCTCGTGCCCTTCCTCCGCGGCGAAGTCAAAATGCACAGCCAGCACTTCCCCGCTGCGTGTCTCACGACCCTCGGCGAGTTTGCGTGGCGCGGCCTCGTGCTCGTGACCAACTACCGCGTGCTCGTCGTGCCCTTTGAGATCGCGCCGCTCGTCGAGATCCCGCTCTTTTCGATCGTCTCGGTCTCACGCGAGTCGAGCTTTGGGTACCGGTCTCCGTTCTTATTGCTGACGTCCAAAGACGTCCGGACGCTCCGATTGGACGTGACGCCCGATGACCGGCTCCTGACGCTGCTCCACCTCATCACCAAGTTGAGCGAGTCGACGCAAAAGCTGCAGAGTGGCGAGCCGACAAGGGACTCGGTGCTCAGCCTCCAAGTGCCGCACTTTAGCTTTGCGTACACGATGACGTCGGTGACGCCCGAGACGAACGGGTGGAAGTTTGCCGATATCCTCACCGAGTACGGGCGCCAAGGCTTGGACACGAACCCGCTGCTCCAGGTGCCCGTTTTGCATCCAGTGAGAGGTCTCAACGATCTGCTAGGTGGTCGAGAATGGCGACGGCGCCGTCTGCGACTCGTACCCGCCCCACCTGCTCTTCCCTGCGTCCCTCTCGATGGGCGACGTGCTTGCGGCCGTCAACTTTCGCGCAAAGAACCGCGTCCCGCTCATCACGTGGCAGCACCCGCGCAACCACAGCGTGCTCACACGGTCGAGCCAGCCGCTGCTCGGACGGCTCCTCACGAGCCAGAGCTGCGGCATCGACGAGGGCTTGATTGCATTCTACAAGAAGCTCTCGACCAAGTCGAGCTCGTCCTTGTACATCTTTGACGCGCGCAAGGTCAAGGCCGCCAAGGGCAACCGACTCATGGGGAAGGGCGGCGTCGAAGCCTCCGGGCAGTACACGGGCGCGATCATCAACCACCTCAACATCGCCAACATGTACAAGATGCAAACCTCGTACCTTGGTACGCCCTCGACCCTTCATTACACGCCTAATGCTGTCGGCGTAGCGCTCATGAAGCTCTGCCTCTCGCCCGAGCACGACAAGAGCTGGTGGTCTGCCCTCGAGGTGCGCGCCGTCTTGCCCGTGGATGTAGCGTTGACATGGGAGCAGGCGACGCGGTGGTTTGAGCACTTGCACCTCGTGCTCGACGGCGCCGTCAAGATCGCGCGCGTCCTCGAGTTTGAAGGCGCGAGCGTCCTCGTGCACTGCAGCGACGGCTGGGACCGCACGTGCCAGCTCGTATCGCTCGCGCAAATCATGCTCGACCCATATTTCCGGACGCTCGACGGCTTTGCGACGCTGGTCGAGAAGGACTGGCTCGCCTTTGGGCACAAGGTACAGCCTCTCGTTGGCCTTTCTCACTGAGGAAGCTTAGTTTATGGAGCGACTGGGCGGGAACCGATCGAAGGACCCGACGCGCGCCAAGGTGTCGCCGATCTTCCTGCAGTTTCTCGACGCCGTGTACCAGCTCACGACGCAGTTTCCGACGTCGTTCGAGTTTGACGAGCGGTACCTTCTCCATGTCGCCAACGCGCTCACGTCCGGCTTGTACGGCACGTTCCTCTACGACAACGTGCTGCAGCGGGCGACGGCGCGCGTCTGCGACAAGACGATCTCGGTCTGGACGCCGCAGCTCGTGTCGCCGCAGCTGTTTCGAAATGCCAACTACGAGGCGCGGCCCGACCCGCTCTGGCCGTGGCCCGGCCACCAAGCGCTCAAGCTCTGGACGGGCTACTACTTTCAGCACCATGAAGTGCACGCACACAACCACATTGACGAAGAAGAGCGGCAAAAGGCCTAGTCGACGCTGTCTTTGTTTGATACTCTCTTGATACTCTCTTGATATATATATATATATATATATATTCTGTCGACGTTAGCACGAGGTGTCGATGAGGATCGTGCCGGGGCCGCTCGAGCCGCAGAGCTTGCTCCCGTGCTTCTCGGTGATGACGCCCGAGACGTCGCGGTTGGCGCCGAGGCCCTCGACGCGCTTCCCAATGTCGTACTTGCTCACGTCGCTGCTCGCGAGCTCGACAAAGCGCGGCGGCGCCTCGGGCCGCAGGTCGTACTCGGGGTCGAGCGACAGCTTCTCCATGACCTCGCGCGCCGCCTCCTCCGTCTCGGTCACAAACGAGGGGGGCGTCTCGCGGTAAAAGATGTACTCTTTCTTGGGCGTGCTGCCCTCGTCGCCCAGCGTCACGCGCTTTGCGTCGCGAAGGCCCTTGAGCTGCAGCACGGGCGCGGCGCTCCGAGGCGTCGCCGTCGTCGGCGCCGGTTGCTCCTCCACGTCGTCAAAGCCAAAACTCTGGAGGTCTGCAAGGCGCGGCTTGGGCGTACACCCGGGCACGCCGAGGTCCAGCGTCTCGGGCGCAGCTCCACCGACGTCGAGCGGTGTCTCGGGTGTCACAATCGAGAGCACCTTCTTCTTCTTGACGGGTGTCTTGGCCTTCTACGCACAGGCTACCATGGAGTGCGTGCGGATAGCTCCGCGGACCTTTTTCGTGGGCGCAAGGACGAGGCCGTGCTCGGCCTGGTTCCACGACATGACGAATGCTTCGAGCCGCGTCGGGGCACCTGCACAAGCTGTGGACCAAGCCCATTCCAGAGCGTCTACCAGCAGTTGTCACGCCCAAGTCGCCATCGGTTGCCGCGTGGGACGGCGCCTGTTGCGGCGATGGCTACACATATCTCGCATCGTCAGAACGTAGGCCATGGCGTGGGCCATACCCGCTCGAGCTCAAACGCGTCCAGCGCGGACTGGATGTTGTGCACGCGGAAGAACTCGCGGATGAGGTCGTGGATGTACCCTGCATCGCCGTCGTTCTCCTGCGACGTCTCGACCACCGGCGTCGCGAGCGCCGATGGCCGCGCATCGTCCGTCTTGACGGTCGCGCGTGGCTCGTTCGCATTGCCATTGTCGTCGTCGTCGTCGTCCAGGACAAGCTCCATCGAGATTGCCTTCTTGGAGCGGCGACTCGTCTCCTGGTGGAAGCTGTCATGGAGCGGAGCGTCGTCGTCGGTCCACGCTCCTCGCGACCCCATGCCTCCCGGAATTCTGCAATAATATTGAAACGGTTTCCAATATATATATATATTGGGTCTTAGGGGTGGGGCAAGAGCGCGCAAAGGGCTGCTTGGACGCGCGCCTGCGACAGGCGATGAGTGACGACGCGTGCATCGACGTCGTACCTGGTGCAGACCCGACGGCAGTCCGACTTGGGTCGAGAAGAGCACGTCAAAGCACTGCAGCATGTAGGGCACCCACTCGTCCTGGAGCACCTGGCGTAAAAGTGAGGACGAGGAGGACGCTTGCATATCGTACCTGCGTGAGCTTGAGCAGCTGCATGTCGAGGCAGCGGGGGTCGTCCGAGTGCGCGGGTGCCACGCCAATCGTCGCGCAAAACGTCGTGAGGACGTCGGCGACGCGCTCGAGCGTCGCCTGGAGCTGCGTCGAGAAGCGGAAGCGGAGGGCGTTGAGCGTGCAGAGCCTACATGGCGTTGGTGTCTCCGAGATGCTAGACGATCGAAACCGGAGGTCGTTGAACGAAGAGAGCATGCCATTCGTGAGCTGCGCGAGGATCGGGAAGGCCATGAGCGCGTGCGGCGGGCCATCTGCGACGCAGGTGACGACCGGTTACGGCAGCGATGTGCACCTTGGGACGCCGACATGGCGAGCTGGCGGAACGAGGCGAGCATGATGGGTGTCGCGCTGTACGCAGCTTTGGGCTGCACGTGCGCGTGGAGCGCGGCCTGGAAGTCCGAGACCGCTGCATTCCACTGGGCCGAGATGCGCTCCAGAATGTGGTGCTCAAAGGCCACGAGCACGAGCGCTACTCGTGTGTATGAGAAGCTTGGTCCAGCGCAATGAGAACGTACAGGAAAAGTCGACTTGAACGCGACCGAGCGAGCCGGCGAAGAAGAGCATTTGCTCGAGCACCGACGCGATCGACCCAAAGTCGTCGATCTTGGGCAAGAGCCTACGCGAGGGTTAGGTCTGCACGACGACTTGTATGTACGCGTCGACGACGAGCATGAGGTCGACGACGAGCCGGACGGCCCAGTTGCACAAGGGCGTGTCCGTCTTCTCCAGCACTTGCTACATCGAGCAGCACATGACGTTTCCGTTGTACAGTAGAGGCCGCGACGACGGACCTGGTGTCCAAAGATCGCCGTGTACTGCGTAATCAGGTCAAACCACCCCGTGCGCTTGGCGTCAATGAGCTGCATGAGCTACGCACAGGTCATAGCATCGGCGATCTCGTCCGTCTCGGCGTACGTGGTGGTAGGGATCGGACGTCGCGAGGCCCTGCGTCGTGTGGGCGAGCCACTTGCTGCGGCAGTCGAGGAACTCGTGCTTCAAGGCCTCTTCGTAGCCGCTCGGAACGGGCGACCACATCGCATCGGCGCGCCGGAGGTACGCGACCAGGTGGAGGCATTTGGCCAGCGGAAGGTCCTGCTGCAGCGTCTCGATGATCTTGGACCGAAGCGTCGTCGTCGCGTCTTGCACCTCGCGCAGCTAGCACACAAAATGCAGCGATATGGACTTCAAGAGTATGCGACGTACGAGGCTGCGCAAGATGACGTGCGACGTTGGCTTGGCGGCTTCGTCGGCCAGAAGCGTCTTTGCAAACTGGATCGCATCGAGCGCTTCCTCCAGCAAGTCGCTGGAGATACAGGCCTCGACGAGCTCGGGGATCTCGAGAAGCTCCATGAGCTGCGTGTGGTGGGCAAGGATGTATTGGATCTCCGTGTTGGTCTTGGCGGCCTCGTGGACGGTCGTGTCGAGTGCGCTGCAGGCGGCGAGAAGCTGCGGCAGAGCGGCCTCGACAGCGTTGACGTTGCCTGCGATCGTCTGGAGCTCGGCCGTCACGACCTGCGAGCACTGCTGGCTCTGCACAAAGACGTGGTAGTTCTTGAGCGCTAGCCGCGAGAGGCGCTCGCCGACGTCGTCCATCTGCCGCGCCAGCCGCCATGGCTTGCCGAGGAGCTCGTCTTGGCTCGACTGCCCGAGGAGCATCGCGCAGTCCGGATACGAAATAACACGTGGCTGTGTTATAACCCAAAAATTCGGAACATGCGTCTAACACGTCAAAGGCAACTTGAGCAGTATCCTCGGCCTTTTGTCGACGCCACTTCGATCTGGGAAGGTGCGCGGTCGGACGAAGGTGAGGGCGACCGGTCCATGGCATGGCGCAGGTGAGGAGATCGACGACTCAACCGGAATGGAAAGGCCAGCGCAGGGCTGTTGGCGCCTGTTTAACGCCTTTCTACGTACGTTATACTCTGGCGACGCATGTGCGGTCAGGGCAGCGCGGTGCGCAGCGCGCGTGTCGCTGGACGTGGCAGGCGCACGTGGCACGGGGCAAAGATACAAAACCATTTCCATGTTGCTGGAGTTCAAAGCACTCCCATTAACATCGTCGTTAGACCATACAGGCCGTCAAGCACGGCGCAATGGCAGCGGTTGCATCTCCAGGTGTAGCAGCGCAGGATTACATGGCGTACTTGGCCGTCCACTCCCGTGCCGTGCCATCGTGGCGGGCGCGGTCGGTTCTATAAATCTGCGCAATCTCGGGCACGAGCGGGTCGTCGGGGTTAGCGTCCGTGAGCAGCGAGCAAATCGAGAGGAGGACCTTCGAGATCGTGAGCGCGGGGCTCCACTGGTCCTTGAGGATGTCTAAGCAGATGCCACCGTTGGCGTTGATGTTGCAGTGGTAGATGCGCGTCGTGAAGTTGACTTTCGGCGGCTTGAACGGGTAATCTGCCGGGAAGTGGATGTTGAGGAAGTAGACGCCACCCGCGTACGGCGAGTCTTCCGGGCCCATGATGGTCGCCTGCCAGTGGAAGAGGTCGTCGCCGACGGGGCCGGCCGAGCAGTTGGCCGGCGGGTCCTTCCCGAGGTCCTGCAGTTCCTTGTTGATACGCTTCAGAGCCATCTCTCGCCCAGTGACTAAAACGGAAAATAACCAACGGGGGGCACAGGCCACCGACTAAGTGCGCCGGAACACGCACCTCACCGGACATCCGGATAAGCCAGCAACGCGTTTGTATGTCGAAGGGCTATCCGGTTACGATTCTAGAACCATCGAACGCGACCAACGGCCCGGCGCGAGGTTAATTTTACCCAATCGCGAAAGGCGCGAGATGGGACTGGGACTGCGAGGAAGGTCCATCGCGGATCAGCGGTCGACCGTCAGCAGTCATGCCATGATGCATCGATGCATCGACCATGGCGCTGGGGCTTGCATGCGGACGAGGATGACGCGATGGAGTGTTCCGCACTGCCACTTGGCGGGCATGTGAGCAACCGCGCGTGCTTGTGAAAGTGGCCGACACAGCGCGTGAGTGCAACCAGCGGCCGGGTGGCAGGTTCCACAGCGCGGGAGGAGTGGTAGAGGCGACCGAGGCTTTTTATAACCTCAAGGACATGCGGAGCGTGTCACACCGTGGATAGCCAGACACGGGGCATGTAACGTGGGCGGGATCGTCGCGCGCAGCCCATTTCTCCAATTCGACTGCTCGTGCCTCATGCGCGCAGTACCTCAAGTCCTCGCCGTCCTGGCGCTTCTCGCCGCGTCCTCGTCTGGCCAGCTCGTCTCGTGCACGGCCAAGGTGTGCGTCGCCAACAGCGTCGAGCGCACAGACGAATTTTGCCTCCGAGCGTGCAACACGGACGACGCCGCGAACGACTGCAAAATGTTCTGCACCTGCGGCAGCACGTCGCCGGGCTACATGTGCGCCAACGTCTGCCGCAAGGCCAAGACCTCGGACGAGTGCGGCACCCCCGTGTTCCAAAAGTGCCAGGCCGATGCGTTGGCGTGCGACCGGTCGCCAGTGACGTCGCCGGCGCCGACGACTGCTGCCGCCTCGACGCCGGCTCCTACATCGGCCCCGACAACCGCGCCGACGAATGCGCCTACGACCGCACCGACGACCGCGCCGGCGACGCCGAGTCCTTCGACTGCAGGGCCTTCTCCGTCGCCGTCGCCGAGCACGGCGGCTCCGACTACCACGCCAACGAACGTTCCGACGACGAACGCTCCGACGACGAACGCTCCGACGACGACGCAAAGTAGCACCACGTCGCCGGCGCCCACCACAGGTGGCTCGTCGACCCCGGCTCCGACCGCTTCGACGCCTGCGCCGACGACAAAGGTCTCGGCGTCGCCGACCCCGTCTGCCAACGGAACGGCTGTTCCTGGCCCATCCTCTACACCTACGACACCGGCCGTGACGTCGAAAAACGAGTCGACGCCGGCCACGACGGCACCGGTCAACAACGGTACGGTGCTTCCTACAACGACGGCTGCCCCCACGACGTCGACCCCGAATGCGCCGTCGGGCAAGTGCTCCATGATCAGTGTCGTTGCCGACGCGACCTATTGCATTGATGGTCCCGTGTGCGGTGGCGAGCATGGCGGGTGCCCGAAGAAGGGCGACGTGGCCACTGCCCACTGCCTCAAGGGCCTCGACAGCTACGTGAGCGCCGACAAGTGCATCGCGCCGATGGACGCGACGTGCGAGATGATCGCGCCCCACGTCCGCGGCTGCGTCTTTGACAAGAAGAAGGCGGCGGCCGAAGCCAACGCGAATGCGTCGTGCATCCCCGTGGGCGTCTCGGGCGACGCCACGTACTGCGTGCCGGGGCCCATCTGCGGCGGCAATGGTAGCAATTGCCCCAAGAAGGGCGACAAGGCGGCGAGCGACTGCGTCGCGGGGATCCCGAGCTTCCACAGCGCCGGCTCGTGCGTCGCGCCAGCGGACGCGGTGTGCCAAATGGTTGCGCGCGGCGTCAACGGCTGCGTCTTCCCTTCGCAGTCGTAAGCACTGGACGCGTTGAGTCGGCGGATCTAAGCGATGTGTATAAAGCTGAAGTGTAAAAAGTGTGTTTTGAGTGTATCGAGCGCGTTGCTATGAATAGCGTGGCAGGATGTTTCTAGAGAAGCTGCCGCTCGTACACGTCGAGACCGAGATGGACGCCAAGGCCGTCGTCCGCCGCATGCGCCTGCACCAGAAGGCGCCGGCGGCCCCAGAAAAGTACTCTCAACCTCCAAAGGCGTCGAAGCGAGTCCTACGCTAGGACCGAAATGGACGTCGCCGGCTTCAACGAGCTCGTCCAGGCCGCGAAGAGCGACCTTATGCAGCAAGAATCCGCGGCCAAGAACGAGCTCGAGTTCTACCGCGGCCTCCTCGACATCAAGGTTTGCCAAACACCGCGTGCTTATCGGAGCTTATTGCACCACACAACGTAGAAGCCACGGCCCGCGATCGACCTCTCGGGAGGCGCGTCAAGTTTCAAGTTGCCCAGTCTCAAACCGCCGCCCAAGCAGCCACCAACCAACCAAGAACGCCCAACGTCGTCGTCGTCGACAACGTCCAGCAATGGGCGAGGGTCCGCTCCGCGAAAGCTCGCCACCGAGGGCCCCAAGGCGACGCTTGCCGCCATCAAGCCCAAGCCCTCGACGCTGAAAGGACCTCTCGCAATGAAACCTCCACAAGCGCGTCTGCCTCGACCCAGTGACGAGCCAAAGGCCTCAGCCAAGGGAGCGTCGCACAAGCCAACGCCCGTTCCGGCGGCAGGACCTGCGAAGCGCCCACAACCCAAAACCTCTGCGGTAGCGCCTCCGCCCAAGCCCAACAACACCCCCATCGCAGTAGCCCTTGTGCCTATATCCCTACATTGACGAGCAATGCTGCGTAGACCACCAAGAAGGTCGTTGGACGGAGCAAGAAGGAGGTGTCGACGATGGACTGCCTCGCGACCTTTGACGACGCCGAGCCCGAGGTCGACAGCGCGCCCGTCTACAGCGATTTCGACAGCAACAACAATGGCTACGGCTCGGACGACGACAATATTCTCATGCTGTAGAAACCTCTCAATGCGAAATGCTCACCGCGTACTGCGTTCGTACGCGTCGACAACGTGGTCGACAATCTCTTGGACGGCCACGCCCGCGTTCACCTGCGCAAAGACCGTGGGGCCCGCGCCGCGCATGAGCTTGGCGTCGCGCGCCATGACATCGAGGCTTGCGCCCACATGCGGCGCGAGATCAATCTTGTTGATGATCTACAAGAAGCATGCATGAGAGCACGGCGGCATGCAGAGATGTCCGTTACGAGGAGATCGGCCTGCGTGATGCCGGGGCCGCCCTTGCGGGGCACCTTGTCACCACCGGCCACGTCGATCACGTAGATGATGTAGTCGGCGAGCTCGCGACTAAAGTTGGCCGCAAGGTTGTCGCCGCCCGACTCGACGAGCACGAGCTGGAGCTGAAAGAGGTCAGTGAGCTCTTCGCAGGCTTGGAGGTTGGCCGAAATGTCCTCGCGGATCGCCGCATGGGGGCAGCCACCTGTCTCGACGGCCCGGATGCGCTCCTCCGGCAACGCCTTGTGCTTGACGAGGAACTCGCCGTCCTCTTTGGTGAAGATGTCGTTCGTCACCTACATCGATGCAGCCGTGACGCACCATGAGAGAATGAGCCCACCGCTGCGATCTGGAGCCGGTCGCGAAGGGCTTCGCAGAGCGCAAGCATGAGCGCCGTCTTTCTACGCGGCAAAGATGAACGGTGCGCGAGGTAGAGGAGAGCTCGTACCCGCTGCCAACGGGCCCGCCAATGCCGACGGTGAACGCGCGTTCGTTGTAGTCGCGCTCGATGAGTTGTTCGCGGTGCTCAAAGACGCCAGCATGCTCGAGGTGCTCGTGCGTGTGGCCATGGTCCATGAGCTGCTGGTACTCGCTTGGCGTCGGGTCGCGGCCATACCGCTTCTTGAAGCGTTCGACCGTCTCGGACACCACGAGATCGTCATGCCCATGGTCATGGTGGTGGTCGTGGTCATGGTGGTGGTCATGGTGGTGGTCGTGGTCGTGGCCGTGGTCATGGTGGTGGTCATGGTCATGGTGGTGGCCGTGATCGTGGTGGTGGTCAGCGGGGGCGTGGCTGGACATCGCTCTGTACTTTGGACGAAGATCGGCTTTGACGAAGATCTGACAGTTGGCAAGGCAAGCCAGCTGGCAAGTCGCGCAAATCTGGTTCGACTTGATGACTAAACGACTAAATCGGGTCGACTAATCAATCGACTAAAATATCCGAAACTGATTCGGCAAAGTTCAAGGCGAGTCCAGTTCGGGCTCATCATCCACATCGGCTGCTTGGGAAGGCGACGTATGTCTCTCCACCTGGTCTGCCCGCTCTTCTCTACCTCGGTACACGGGCACGGCCTCCTGACGCCTGTCCATCACGCCCATCCATGCGGGCAAGATGCGGCTTCTGCAAGGTGGAGGCTACGGACTTACGACGGTCGAATTGAATATATAATCTTAATTTGTAAATTCGTTCCTGGTAATCTACGGGTGGTCCTAACTCTATATAGTACGGGTCGTCTAGTTGATGCGTGCAACCTTCATAGGCACGACAAGCGGGTTCTCTTCCTCCAGCTTGCGCTTCGCCTGGCGCCGAAAGTCGAATGAGCAGCTGTGTTCCTCGGCGTACCGGTGACGCGTGCAAAACGTGTAGCCGCAGCGGCACGTGATCGCCGAGAGGCCAATCTTGGCTTTGCACGACCAGCACTTGCGCTTGTTCGTCTGTTCCACCTTGGTCGGCTTCTCGGGCTCCTGCGGCGTCTCGGTCTTGAGCGCCGTGGCCGCTTCGAGCGGGGTCAAGTCGACGGCCTTCACCACCGGCTTGGGCGCTTCCGGCGTCAGGGCGTGGCATCGCTCCAGGGCAGGGCCGACGGGCGCGGGCTCGGCGGCCGGCGTCGAGGACGAGCTCGTCGGGAGGATGCCAGAGGAGTTCTGCATGAGCGACGGATCAAAAGCGGAAATGAAAATGGCCCGGTCGTGGCCGGAAAACGCCCAGCTGGCGTTTGTATGGGCGGCTGTATACGGAGTGCGCTAAATTTAATTGCGTTTTATTTGAAGTCGGCCGGGTGTGAGCAACAAAGAAAACCCCGGGAGCGGCGCGCGAATAATAATACGCTGCGCTTCATACAAACACGAGGTGCATTAAATGCCGGCGGCCGACGAGGATCGGCGGATTCTGAACCGATGTGCGATAAAAAAATTAAAAAGTTGAACGTCCGAATTGTAATAAAATACGCGACGCGTTCCAAGGCGCCGGGAGTTTTCTGCGCAGAAGCCGATGGAACCTTTATTATTATTATCCTTTATATTGTGTCGTTTGGAAGAGCACGTTTTATTAATTGGATCCAAGGCCGCCGTATTTTATTAAAAAGCCAGTGAGCAACTAGTATTGTCGCACACCACAAGAACATCACCGTAATATTAATATTATTGATAAAATGATACTTATCAATTGTATTCTTTTTGGACCGTCGTGCATAAGAAACGTGCACCCAATCGACGGCCCTGCTATTCTGCCCTTAAATGAGGCTTCCTTTAGGCTCCATTTCGGTCTTTCGCGTCGAAAGAGAAGCGGCGGCTCATGCGACTTCGAATTCGAAGTGCGTGGACAGGCCACCGGAACCTTCCCGGACCCCTCTTCGATACTTGCTTCGAATCGAATTTCGAAGACAATTAGCAATCAGCAATGTCTTTGCGCCGCTGGGCACGGCCGATGGCCCGACTCGGACGGACCCGCGCCGTTGCACCCCGACGCATGCGGCAGTTCTCGTCCTTCCAGAGAGATATCGATGACCAGCGAAGAGGCCCGACGCGCTACTGGCTCCGCATGGCGCTGCTAGGGCTCATAGTGGGCTCGTCCGGGGCGCTCCTGGGCTCGGACGACCGCCAGCGCGCGGCCCGCGCAGTGCTTTCGCTCGGACGCATCTTGGCAGAAATCGCATACGATCAGGGAGATCACAGTAGCGAAGATGCAAAAGAGGCAGCGTCGGCGGAGGATCGCATCGCGTCCATTTTGGCGACGATGGCCCAAGAGCAGACGTTCCGGCAGGCACTCGTAGCGCACGGCGGCGTCCAAGTGCTGCTAAAGGCGCTGCCGCACGCAAATGACCTCGTTCTTCGCAATCGTACGCCACATGCGCTCTACTCGTCGCCTCATGCGTTGTGCAGGCATCCTAGCTGCGATTGCCTCGGTCGCCACGACGCCAGGCACCGACGCCGCACTGGCCGACCTCGAGACCACGTCGCACCTCTTACTGCATCTCCCTGCCGCCGACATTCCTCTGCTCGACCGGCTCAAGATCGATATGGCGCTCAAGCATGCGTACGATGCGCCCAGCCGTGCCGCCATTTCGGTGCCCACCGTACGTTGCTTTTGCACTTCTCGGAATCTCATGTACCGACGGCGGTAGGACGTTGTGCCCACCGTACATCGCCTGGCGTCGGCCGCCATGCTGGCCAAAGCCACTGGCGATGAGCGCAAGGTGAAGCATGTCGATTTCTCTTTCGAACGGGTGCCGACCGTCGTCGTGTAGTTTGCGCTTCAGTCGCTCACGTCGCTCTTGCTGGCTGCAGAGAGCCAGAGTGCGTCGGCTGCGCTCGACACGGCGCTGCGCACGCTCCTGAGCAACGCGCAGCTGCTCGCAACACTGCGCCAGCTCTCTGTGACGCCGTCGCCGCTCCAAGGTCCCGCCGCGACCCTCCTTGTGGCGCTTTACCGCCTTAGCGGCCTCTGCGGCATCTCGTTGCAAGCGCCATCGACGTGGCACGCGCAGGTGCGCCCATCTTGAACTCGTAGGCCAGACGACGCGACGGATGTAGTTTGTCTCGTGGGCGTACGCGGACGCGCCGGCCGTGCACGTCGCGGCCGCCGAAGCCTGGCACCTCATCGCCAAGCAGTCGCCCGACGTGCTCCTGTCGTCCAAGGCCGCGCAGGACGCGCTTTTGCAGCTCGCGCGCGCCACGTTTACGCCGTCGAGCCGTACGCCGAGCGTTCAGATGCACATTTGCGCGATTCTCTCGGCGCTCGGCGACCGCTTCACGGACGGTTTTGACACGACGATGGCGACGCCCATGTCGCGCGTGTTTCGCGACGCCGACGTCCCGGACGCTGCCGTACGTCCTGCGGATAGCACTCCAGCTCATGCGCCGTAGGAGCTGGACGCGACGCCGGTCTTTGGCTGGGTCGACGTGCTCACACAGTGGTCCTTCCACGGCACGTCAGCGGTCCGTCACCACGCGATCCAGAGTCTCTCGCACCTCGCGCTGCGTCAAGACGCGTCGCACCGTGTGTTGCAGGCGTGGATGCTCGGACTTCTCCGCGAGCTCTTTGCGGCGCCCGTACGACGCTCGTCCGCGTATTCGACTGACGTACGATAGGACATGGTGGCCGAGGAGCGCCGTGCCGTCCACGAAGTCGAAGTGCTCGCCAACATGACGTCCGAGACAACGCCGGGGCACGTCAACGTGTCATACAATGACGAAGTGCTTGAGGCGGGCATGGCGGCGATGGCGATTCTCGCGGTGCGTCCGTCGACCGCCGTCGTTCGTGTCGGAAACCGTTGCGCGTAGGAAAAGCACGCGCCCGACTTCATCTGGAAGGGCGGCGTCGACCTTCTCTCGCTCGTGGCGGTGACGTCGCCGCCCGCGATCAAGGCGCAGTGCGCGCGTATCTTGGCCAACCTCGCCACGTACCCTTGGCAGCCACAGGACTTGGTACGTCGTCTGCACGCGCTGGGCAACTCATGGCAGCTGCTATAGGAGCGCGACGTTCAGCGTATCCTCGTCCAGGAAGCCACGGGCGGCTCGCTCTTCTTTGACGAGATCTGCCACTGGCGCGACGAGCCCAACGTCAACATTCGTTCGAGCTACTACCGCGCCGCGACGAACCTCGCGGCGCTCCAAGCCTCCTCCGCTTCGGTATCCGAGTCCAAGCATCATGGAGCGAGATGGGCACGCCTTGCGTAGGAAGAGGATGATTCACCGCCGACCGTGTACCGTGAAGGGATTCACCCGATCGTCGCGCAGTCGTCGGCGTCGTCGACAACCATGCCGCCCGTCGACGTTGTGTTTGTCCACGGCCTGCGCGGCCATCCGTTCGGTGCGCCCGATCTCAGATCTGATGGACCTTGGTGCGATGAAGTTGCGTGTAGGTACGTGGCGCTCGGACATGGCGTCCACCGACATGGTCAACAGCCCAATCTGGCCCGAAGCGCTGCTGGCACCGGACCTCTCGCCCGACTCTCGCCTCGTAACCTTGGGCTACGAGGCGGGCATGGTGACGTGGAGCTCGCCGTGGCCGTCACTGACGCTGCCACAGCGTGCGCAGGTAGACCTCCGTGTTGTACGATAGGAGGAGGAGCATTCGATCTTGTGTGGCGTGGTAGATCATGCTGGAGGCGCTGGAAGCGGCGCGCATCGGTCGCGCGGACGGGCCGCCCGTGATTTTTGTGACGCACTCGATGGGCGGGCTACTCGTGAAGGAGATGCTCGTGCTTGCCAAGGCACAGGAGCGGTCGCTTGCGTCGCGCACGGCGGGCGTTGTCTTCATGGCGGTGCCCCACTTTGGCGCCAATGTGAGCTCCAATGTCAACGCGCGGGCGATCCGCGCGCTCATCCAGGCCCACCCGGCGACCAAAGATCTCTCGGCGAACGCGCCCCACTTGCTCGCGCTGCACAAGGCATACCAGGCGCTTCAGATCCCATCACTAAGCTTGGGCGAAGGCCAGCCCGCGCCGCTCGCGCTCGGCGTGCGGTCGATGGTCGTCTTGCCCGACTCGGCCAACCCAGGAGGCCCGCTGGATGCGTTTCACCTCCTCTCGAGCACGGACCACATGGACATTTGCAAGCCGCAGACCGTCGACGACCCGCGCTATCGGCTCGTGATTGACTTCCTGCGCGCATGCGTCGCATAACCCGAGAGACGCATGGTCTTGGCACTGGTATAGTAGTTACGCAGACATACCGCTTAGTTCTTCTGGAAACCCTGGAGGCGCTGCGACGAGTTCTGGAAAGCGTACAGGAAGCCGGCGATCGTGCCGAGGACGCCCGTGACGACCATGGACGGGCCGCGGACCGGCTTGCCGAGCGCGTAGCCGGCGCCGCACGAGATGGCCGACGCCGCCGAGATCGTGACGTAGTCGGAGAAGTTGAAGTTGTCGGTCGTATCGCCGAAGTTCGGGTACTTCATCGTGACGGGGAAGCGCGGAGCGCGGGGGTCGATGGGCGCCGAGGACATGGTCGTCGTGGGGTAGAAGCTCTGGACTGCGCCAAAAGAGTGGCTGGAATAAAACTCCTCATAATATATATCCTGTCATAATACATACTTCGAACCACCTGCCACATTTACTGCGACTAATTTCGGCATTTCGCTGCCTGGTCGCCAGGGCATCGCGCACAAACGACACACGAGATGCTCGTATGCATCAATGCACAAATGTATATTAGTACCTAAGCGTACGAGGCATGCCAGCTGGGTGAAGACCGCCGAGCCATAGTCAGCGCCATGACTGGGCCATTAAACGCCGGCGGTCTTAGTTTCGGCATTATCGTTGAGGCTGCCGATTTTAATATATGAAATCGGCAGACGCCGAATAGCCCGACGACCACGATGCTGAGCGACCTCTTCAGCGGCGAGCGCAAGACGCCCAAGCCGTTCGTGGACCCGCGCCTGCCGCAGTTCCCAGTCATTGATGCTAACCCGCCGCTGCACAAGATCCTCCAGGCCACGCGGCCCGACGACGGACTCAGCTTCGCCTTTATCGTCGCTAGCATGTTCCTCGCAGGCCACAAGGTCCCCGACAAGAGCGTCTCTGCGCTCTTCCGTAAGCGCACGGCCTTTGGCGCCGCATTCGCCGGTGCGCTCGGCGGCTTTGCTGTCGTGTGCCAGATGGGTCAGGCGCGGCTGCAAGGCTTTGCACGCAACGAGGTTGAGATCGCCAAGTTTGGCCTCGCGACGCCGAGCCCTGCTGCGCCCGAGGAGACCGCCGTTCATGCATAGTCATCGAATATGCAACATGAGTAGACTGTAGAGCACTGAAGAAGACATCATGCAAACCATTTCTGTGTTATCGTGGTAGGAAGGTCGCGCCGAGGTTCTAGAACGGCCACTCACCTGCGGTGGGCGGGCCGCGGTTGGCACGGGGGGCGCTCGGGCCCGACGATGCAGACATCGCGCCACCTTCGTATTCGATCGTCCTAACACGCGACGCGTTAGCTTTTCTACCGCAAGAGGTACGACGTACGGCTCTGCCTCCAGCACCGCGTGGAAGCCATAGAGGTACGGGACCGAATACTGGAGAAGCTCCTGTTGGCCTTAGCATGAGCAACCTCTGGTCAGCGGTCAGTGGTGTACCTTGAGCACGCGCGTCTCGCCAGCATCAAGGGCCACGGCCGTGCGCGCTTGGTCGCTCGAGAAGGCAAAGACCGTCTTGTGGTGCTCGGGCTGGTACTCGATCGAGAAGGACTTGCGCAAGCCCTCGTTCGCCTGCGCCACGTCGCCCTCGTCAAGGGCAAAAAGGGCAGAGGACGTTGATATACCTGCGGGTCGTTCATGTTGGGCGAATGCACGAGCGTGATCTAATGTACAGTCCATACATTGGCCCATGCTCGCTCGAGAGGTGACAACCTTTTGCTTCGAGTCGAGCGTGTTGAGGATAGCACCAATCTCGCGGGGCGAGACCGAAAACAGCTACAAGAGGCAGATGAGCCTTCGCGCGTCCATCGCAATCGACGACGAACGAGCTTGTCCTGGTAGTTGTAGCCTTGCTGCGTCGCCTTGCACCAGCTCAGCATGAGCGAGCCCTATGCGCTGCTGAGCCGATGCTGCATGGACCGAGGCATACCCCGCGCTTGAGCTTGAGGTACTTGCCCGTGTGCGTGTAGACCGCGGCGAGCGGTGCCACCTATATGCGCCGCAGGAGGTGACGACCAAGATCGGCATGCGGAATCCGGCGTACTTGGAAGAGGGCGTCGCTGCCGTAGCTGGAAAACTGAGGAAACACGCGGGGCGCGGCGCCCCGAGCTGATAGCATACACCTGAGACCACTGCACACGGCGTCTACGGAGCTTACTGGAGAAGGCGCGGACGGCTTGGCGGTGCATCATCATCTTGGCTCCTCGGACAAGACCTGGACCAGCAATGACACCGCCCAACGGTATCCGGAGACTCGTACGGATAATCAGAGGCCACGGTCTACTCCGGATACCTCTCTATTATCCGGCAATAGTGTGTGTTGGGAACATAGCACGCGCGCACTTCAAAAAAGTGTACGTCGCACGAAACGGCCAGATGACGTGACTTGGCTGTTTGGCTCGACGCGGTCAGGTCAGGCAACCTCGATCGAGCTCCTGCGTCTGAGCTTCGCGACGCAGTGGAGATTGACCACACGCAGAGGCTATAGCTAGAGGCTGTGCTTTTGCGCAGCACGTATCCGCCGCAGTTAGCTGTGCTTGAAGCACTCGGCCCAAGACGCGAAGGTCCACGTATATCCACAGCACGTCGCCGCATCTGCGATCTTTGGCTTCTCGTGCAGCTTTTTTCGCGCTGGCTAGCGTGACGATCTCTGGTTGGCGCTGTCGTCGTGACAGGCCGCTGCGTAGAAGTGAAGCGCCGATGATGCACGCCATTCGTCCAGCGATGGTCTTCTCCGCCCGTAGGTCCTCTGGCTGCTGTTGGTGCAATGTGGCCACTTGCCCATTTACCTTCTGGAGCCAACGACGACACTTGCGTCGTACTGCCTTTGAATGTTCTGGCACCGCCTCCAAGCCTTCTTCCACGCCAAGTTTAGCGCAGTGCGATCCACGAGCGCCAGCGTCCCGTCGAGCGACGTCCGCCAACTGTACGTCTTTTCGCCGCAAGCGCTTTCGCGAAGCCGATCCTGCGGCATGTACACGGACATGAACACACCCGCGAACAAGGCGGCCTGCTACGCCGAGCTCACACGCGGCTTTTGACAAACTGTACAACATCTCGGACAACTAAGAACAACAAATATTATATATATATTGTAGATTATCGATGTGATTGCGTTCTCTCCGGGCAAGAAGAGAAATCGAGAAACGATCGAGACTTGAAGTGCCACCGCGGAGTTTCGAGAGAGGATACCGGTACATGAATGCTCAATGCTCCGAGGTTGAAGAAGCCACGGACAGGACGACGGCGGCCACTGGCAGGATGCATGCCGACGTGGGTTACGTCAGCGGCCCGTCCGCGCAGCTCAAGGAACCCGCACTCATCCACGCCACGACATGTCCCGCGTATTTTCCACGCGCGAGTCACTCGGCGTCTACAGACGTGGGAAATGATATACAAACACCAAGTTACTCGCTCCTACGACCGAGTGGCTTTTGGCGTTTTACACACCTGGTCGCGCGAAACCTGAGGTTCGCGCACCTGTGGGATGCACAATCGTGTGCGATGAGCACTGTTTGCGGTGGACGCACCCAGCTCGTGCTCAAGGTGGCAGCAAGCGTCCAGAGCGCACAAGCTCGTTGCCATAGTACCGGTACCTCGGTATCTCGGTATCAGCGCGCTGCCTCGGTGCGACTACGGTCTGTCGACGGCGCTGATCGCTTGGCTTCCGCAGCTGCGGCGCTTCAACAAAAGCAAAGATCCAGACGCGCCAATCCTGGCTGCGCATCAAAAACGTGCCGCTCGGTCCAAGCTCCAAGTGCCCAGCTGGTTTCGGTGGCCGCGACTGCACATCCCATTTTGACCCGTCGCAGCCATGCGCGAGCCGCTCGCGAGCACCGTCCACGTCGTCATCGTCGTCTTCAGCTGCTCGATCCACGTCTCCGTGCCCATCGCGGTCCTTGTCACCGCCGTCGCCGCTGCGCTGCGCATCCTCTGGCTGCATCAACAGCACGCGCTCAAGGTCGTCAACGAGAGCGAAGGCGACGACGAGACGTCCGCGCCGCTCGCTCTCAAGACGGACGGCCCGTCGGCCGAGGCCAAGCCGCCGCGCGCACTGCACGGCGCCCGCGTCGCGTTCACAGGCATTGCGCTCGGGGCGGACGCGATGGCCCAAGACAAGAAGCGCATGTACTACACGCTCGAGGTCGCGCCCTTTGACGGCGGCGCGCCGTGGACACTGCACCGAAGCTACCGCGACTTCCGGGCGCTGCGGTCGACGCTTCTCGCGACGTCGCTGTACTTTCAGCACCTGAGCTTTCCGCCACGCTCGCCGCTCGGCCACGCGTTCGTGAACCACACCAAGCGCAGTCAAGGCCTCTTGGCCTTCGTCACGTACATTGTGCAGCACGAAGTGCTCTCGCAACTGCCTTCAGTGATCGCGTTCTTTGCCGTACCCGAGGTCGCACCGCTGGCGCTCTACGTACCGCACCCGCACGAGCGTGACGGCGGCGACCAAGACCGCCTTCCCAACGAGCAGCGGGCGATGGTAGCCCAACTGCAGCAGCAGCTTGACCACGATGAGCTCTTTAGCTGCCCCATCATGCTCGCGCGCCACCTCCAAGCCACATCGTGGAGCCTTCCGGAAGCGCAAGCCCGTGTCCAGTCGATCGTCGCGTACGACTAAACCCGTCCTCTGCGTAGCTCATAGTCGAATTCTCTAGGTGGCGTGCGGCCAACGTCCCTCCGAGCTTTGACATGGACGTGCTCGCGACGGAGCTTGCGACCGGGAAGCTGTATGTCGCCGATTTTCTCGCCGCCGACAACAGCGCGCTCGCGATCGTCAAGCTCTACAAGGAGAACACGTGGTCCGCCGAGCACTATGTCTCCAACATCAAGTACACGATCGGTACGACCGACTACAGCTCGCTATCGACTAACTATTGTGGTCTAGAGCACGGTCTGCGCCGCGTCTCGCCGGCGCACAAGATGCTGGTCGTGATTGACTTTACCAACTACTCGCTGACGTACTGCCCGGACATGAGTGCGTTCCAGGACTTTGTGCACATGGTCGAAAAGTACTACATCGAGCACCTCGGCGCCATCTACCTCGTGGACCTCCCGTGGCTCTACGCCAAGATGCTGCACATGATCAAGCCGCTCCTCAACGCCACGACAAGTACGCCGATCTTAGTTTCAAGTTGATACCAAGGTGACATCGTAGGAAGCAAGCTCACGATGGTCAAGTCGAGCAACCTCAAGAGCCTCGCAGCGGTGCTCTCAACGACCGACCTCTTGCGCCATGTTGGGCCAGCACCGACATTTGAGCTGGACGTCGCCACGTACCTCAAGCCTTTCTAAGAACTTACTACCGGTTTGCTATTTAACTTTACGTTTCTGCACGTCCTCAGAATCGACGCCAGCGACAGGCGCGGATCAGAACCAGATGTGGCGCATCCGATATCCCGCAATCAAAGCACTGCAGTTTACCGGTAGATTGACGAGAAGCATAAGTGTACATAGTTGTCTTAGTTGTTATTAGCAGTAATTGGGTGCCATCTTGTTAAATACGGGAAAATCTAGTTGAAAAAGTAGGGACTCTCCAGCACCTCCTTGAGGTCGAGCTCGCCGACGCCGGGCACGGGCGGGAACTGCTGGCGCGGGAAGCGCATGACGAGCTGGTCCCGGAGTTCTTGCAGCAGCGGCTGCGAGTAGAGCGTCACAAACTCTTGGCGCAGGCGCTCGTTCATGCGGTCGACCGAGCACGCGTGGGTCCAGTACGAGTCGTGGACGGCGGCAAACTCGAGCTTGTCCTCGCCAATGACCTTGAGCGACGTCATCATCATGTGGGTCGAGTCGAGCGAGTGCACATAGTTGGGCGGGAACGCCGACTTTTGCCGGCCGACGCTCACGCGCTTCGAGTCGTTGTCCGTGATGATGACATGCTGCATCGACGTGCGGACCTGCTTGGAGCTCTGGACGCGGTAGGGCTGCGTCACGGGGAGGCCGAGCGGCGTGATCCAGCTCATCATCTGGCCTTCGTTCGCGACAAGCTCCGTGCACTTGGAGAGCCACTCCATGATGAGACGCGCCGACGTGAAGAGATCGCCCATCGACTGCATAGTGAGCTCGGCGGCGTAGTTGGCGGCATGGTAGATCTGCTCTTCGAGCTCTTCATTCATGCCGCGGCCCTCCATGAGGAACACCTCTTCGAGACGCGCTTGGATCTGGCGACGCGCGCCAATGTACGTCACGCCGTAGACCGACGTCATGACGGTCTGCTTGACGACCTTGCGCGTGATCGCCTTGAGGAGCAAGTTGGCGTACTCGTGGCGGCGCTTGAGCTCAAACTCCTTGGCCTTGGCGAGACGCACGAGCGTCTCCTCCTTCGTGAGCGCCTTCTTCGGCACGTACGACGACCGGCGCGACTTGGCCACCGCGCCCGTCGTCTGCTCCTCGTACCACGTCTTTTCAAAGGACGGGCGCAGATCCTCAATGATCTCGTCGAGTGACGGGACCGCTTGCACCGAGTCGTGCTCCATGCGCTGGATGACGCGCGCTGCGACGCCCGAGTAGACGTCCTGCGGCTTGTCCGAAGGCACGAGGTTGACCTGCTCGCCACCACCCTGGTCGCGACCGAGCGCGGCGTAGTGCTGGAGCCCGTTGCACGACCCGTCTTGATGCACGGGCACGTTGCAGAGGTACTCTTCCGGGTTGGGGTGCTGGACAGCCTTGGCGAGCTCAAAGACGACGCCAAGGGCCAAGAACGGCGCTTCGGCGTCCTGCCACCACTTGGAGTCGGGGTCGTCGCCCAGCGGGTTGGCGGCCGACGCAAGGATCTGCGGCATGTGGTCCGTGGCAAATTGTTCGCGGTCGTCAAACGAGCACTTGTCGATGCCGTAGAGGTTGGCGAGGTGGATCTTGAGCCAGCGCAGCCCGCCGGGGCCGAGCGGCTTCTTGTCCTTGAAGACGAGGAGCGACCGCGACATGTCCGAGCCGAGGTGGTTCAAGTTGGGCGGGATCGGGTACACGCGGCCGCGGAAGTCCATGTTGTACGGGAAGTAGATGGCTTCTTCGTGCTGAAATTCTTCCGCGACCTGCAGCTTGTAGATTGTGTCGCAGCGCAGCGAGTGGAACTCCCGGTTCTTCTTGACAATCTATCGCAAATTTCATTGTGAGCATTGGATCCAAACTCAAAATCAGAAAATAAGAAGAAAACATGTGGGTCGACGGCCGCAAGTCGCAGTCCAAGGGAAATGGAAGTGACAAGCACGGCCGTCCAGCGCTTGCTGTAGCATGCAGTTTGAACCCTCGTGCCAGTGGGAGTTGGCCGGCAGAGGGCTTGATTCTGATGCGAGAAATAGACTAAGTACGCACCTTGGCCAGCGTCTTCTTGTACGTGTCCATGTCGGCGTTGTAGCGGGCGAGGCGGTCGGCGTCGTCAGCAATCATCTGGTAGTCTTCGACGGCCGGCTCCACCGGCAGCGAAAGGTCGTCGCGCGGCGGCAAGTCGCCAAAGCCGCCGCCGTTGTTCCAGAGCGTCATGACCACGTTCAGCACATCGCGGTTGATGACCCACGGAATGTCGGCGAGCATGTTGAGCGACTGGACGACCGGGTCCATCTCGCCGCGCTTGGCGCACTGCAGCTGCCAGCGCGAGTCGCGGTGCCGCATGATGGTGGTCGGCAGCGTGAGGTAGCCGCCGTTGGCGACGCCGTTCCACGGACGCGGCGGCACGACCATCGGGAGGTACCGGGCGCACCACGGCAGGAAGACGTCGCCGCTCATGACCTTCTGGTGCACTTCCGGCGAGCAGCGGATGATGCCGTACCGGCGGTTCTTCTCAAAGCGGACCGTGTGCTCGAAGGCTTTGACGCGCTTGGGTGGCTCCGGGCCGTCTTCGCGGAGGTGCGAAAGCCCCGACTCGGTCGGAGCCGGAACGTCTTCGTAGCAGTTCTTCTCGAGGAGATCGAGGAGCGCTGACCCGAGCTTGAGCTGGAGCTCCTTGGGCCAGTCGCCCACCGTGTCAAAGTACTCGAGCGCGCGGGCGCGGATGTTGGCGCGCTTGTTGTCCTGAAAGATGCGCGTGTAGTTGCGCTCGAAGGCCGGGACGGACGAGCGCGACTTCTGCTTCTCCTTGCTGATCTCCTCTTGGATCTCGCGGCCAAGCGCGAGCGTGATCTTGACAAACTTGACGCCGTCGGCTTCTATGAGCACGTGGTTGAGCACGGTCGAGATGACGATGCGCGCGAGCTTCTCGGGTGCAATCAGGTAGAGCACTGGGCCGTAGATCGCGCGGTCGATCGCGGTTGCGTCGCGGTTGTTGTCCGAGACCTCGGCGATCTCGTCGAGAATCGCTTCGGTGAGCGCACTGCCCCACTTGTTGATGTACGACTTGGCCGAGCTGATCTCGCTACCCTTCTGTAGAGAGACGACGCTCGCCGTGGTGTTGTTGTTGGTCTCGACCGACATTTCGTAGATGGCTTGCTCGAGGCGCAGCTGCTTGGCGTACAGCTCGCGGATTTCATGCGCGGACTTGCCCTTGAGGGACATGGCTTCAGCCGGAATCTCAAAGCCGTCGAGCCAGCGAGTGATCTCTTCCGGCGACATCGCGCCGAGGCGGTGGCTCTCATCCTTGGCGGGCGGTGTGTACAGAGGAATGGTCGGCTCGTCCGGAAGAAGCGTAGGGTCCCAGACAGCCGTGTTTTGACGCGGCCGCTTGTATCGATGCGGCATGGGCGTGACCGAGAGCGAGCGCTCGAACCAGTCGGCCTTTTCGAGGGGCATGTGCTTGGAGAGGTGGTCGTCGAGGCTCTCGTCGTCGCTCTCGTCGTCGTCGTCTAGTCGCTGCATGGCCGGGATCGACGACTTCATGCGGTGCTGCGGAAGGCTGTGACGAAGGAGCTGCTGCTGCTGCTGCCAGCGCGGGAGCAGCGCGGGCGAGCGCGATGCCAGGCCCGTCGGCTTGGCGGAGCTCAGCCATCGGCGGACGTGGAGTCGCGCGGCCTGCATCTTGGCTTGCAGTCGATCCAAAGCAAAAATGGGATTGCAATCGGCCTCGGTTAATTTTGGCCAATCAACGCGCACGGCGTCTCCCGGGCTCTGAGTGGAGGGGAACCTATCTCTTCTAAATCCTGGATCGAGCTGCGTACTTTGTCGGGGCGCCATACTTTAGTGTTGATTTCCTATGCGCACTTTATAGGACACATCGCACATAAACGTGCCACTGAAAAAGAATGCAAACGACTAACAAATCCTTTGCAATCGACTAAACTGCAAGAAGCGTCGCGCTCCTCCGTGTCTGCGATCACCTGCAACCGACTAAGATCTAGTCGCAACTCATCAGTACAGCGAAAATACTTGCCTTCTCGCAGTCGCAAACAGGTTGGGCTAGCACCCACCACAAACGGTCGCCTTCGGTGATGTTCGTAGGGCTGGAGCGACCAAGCGCAAGAAGATGCGCCAGCAACGGCCGCGAGAAGCGCAAGGTCGTCCTTGCGTGAGGCACGACTGATATTCTTTGTGGCATCTTGCAACGGCCGTGGGGCGCGGCCCATTTTATAGTCGAAATTCGAAGTTTGTGCCACGACTAAACATCCGCACCGAACGCCAGCGAAGGGGTCTGGGCAGCTGGTGGCCGCGACGAGCCAAGTGCCTGGGACATGCCCGCCCTTCGACGTTAACGTCAAGGACGATAGTCCCCAGATGATAATGACAACCTGTGCATTTCACATGGAGCGCCGCTTTCTGTATCGGTTCGTGATGAAACCGTCCGGTTAGCCAGTGGTTGCAGTTGCATGCGTTTGGGACAGGCAGCATGGGCGACCGATCGCTGAATGATCTCGTCCATGACGTTCAGCGCGTACGCCCCGGTTGAGTTGCAGGATCTACTAACTGCCTGTACGACTACTGTAGATTGCGCTTCTAGCGCCGTGGACACACATCGATGTCGCCAACACGATGCTCTGCCGCGAGTCCGACGTGTACGACTCCGTTTGCCCATCGCAGAGCTCAGCGCTTCGCCTAGAATCTGGAATGAGCCGCTGCGCGCTGAGCTCTCGCGAGAGATTGCTTTGCTCTATGCCGGCTTGCTACAGAAGCACCGGTCCATGAACGTCCACAGTATGATCTCGACTGCTGCCAACGAGACGCGGCTCCACGGACGGCTCCTCGTCGAAGTCAAGCGCCGCGTCTTCGTGCCCGAGACGCTCGAGCGCGTACACAGATCTTACGAGTGCGCTGCAGTCAGCAGTCGCTCCTAGGTCAAAGCGCAGGCCGCCAAGCCCCCTCCTTCGCACACGACACCAAAGGAATTGGACTCGGGGCTGCACTTTCGCCGCCGCCGACCGACGCCACCGACCGAGACCACCGACGACAACACCGAGGCGTGCGTAGCCAAACCGCATCGACAGAGCTCCATGATGAGCCCCAAGAAGATGTCGCTGCCGTCGGTGCGGTCGGCGTTGGTGCTCTCGACGGCGCCCGAGCTCTCCAACCAAGCGCCGTCACCGCTCAAGGCCAAGGACGGTGCGTCGACTGGCTGTTGGGTGTATTTACTCCGCGACGATAGCTAGATGGTGTCAACGACAAGCTTACGTCGTCCGTTCGCTTTGTGCAGTTTGCCAAGACGCGCGTGGACCTGCGCGATTTGCTGCAGATGACGGCGACGACGGAGCTCCCCGTGACGCACTTCCGTGACCGACCAGTTCTCGCGTCAGCCATACTTGACGCGGGCGTGCCTCTGCCGAAGCGCACTCCGTCGATGATGCCTCGTACGACAGAGCACTCTGTAGCTGCACTCTTCCCTTGGTGTAGCGCCTCGTCCGCGGTACCTCTATGCCGAGAACAGCGCTGCGCTGCCCCACACCAAGCCTATCTTTGACGACTACGTCGTGCCCAAGGAGGTCTGGGACGCCGTCGAGGCCGAACGATCACTCCAGAGCATCAAGGTCGACGCGAGCAGCAACTTTGAACCGCTGCCGCAAGACGACCTGCCACTGGTAGCGATCGATCTACTACTCGTACTGTACGTGGTGGGCGGTAGGACGTGTATTTTGCGCGCGAGTGTCCACAGGAGCGCGATATGATCTCCAAGGCGCTCGCGACGCTGAGCATTCGCCCGGAGAAGCGAGTCGAGCGGTCGCTCACAGCGGTGTACATGGACGAAAGCCTCGTGGGCACGAGCAACGACGTGCTCTTGCCCGAGGTTCGCCGGCTCTTCGACGCCGCGAGCGGCCAGTACCACGAGCTGCGCGCGCACATGCTTCGCAGCGTCAAGATGTCGGCGCTAGTCGATCTCGCGCTCAAGTGCAATCTGTGCGACCTCGCGATGGAGACGCCGACGCGCGTCACGTCGGCCGACCCGCGCGTTGAGATCCCCAAGAGCCTCCAGCCACCGCCAAAAGCTGCGCGTGGACGAAGCCGCGAGGCAATCTCCCAACGGCGCCGCGTCATTGCAGGTAGCCAGGTTGCGGGACGAGCAGCAGACCAACGTTTTCGTGTAGAGAAGCGGTTGTCGAAGCGGGATGCCCTCGACCAACTATTCCACATGAGCGAAGTCGACCAGCGGCTTCTCACGCAGCTCGAGTTCTACGATCTTAGCGCGGACAACAACAAGGTGTTTGACCCGATCGCGCTCGAACCGCTCTTGAGGTATTCGATCGATCCACTCCTTGAGTTTCATTTTGAGCTCGCAGCGTTCGGTTTGAGACGGTGTGGCGCGGCTTGCTCCTGCACACGACGCGCCGCTTTGACCTCGCGCTCAAGTACAGCCAGCCCGAATTCTCAGCCCGGCTCCCGGACGCTGTCGTGCTCTGGGAGGTGTGTGCGTACTGGGTCGCCGAGCGCGAGACAGCGCTGGACCACGTTCGCAAGCTGCTCAAAGGTTCCGACACGAGCGCATCGGTGACTCCTGCTCAGTCGCGACGACGACCTTGACATGAGTGTTGATAGCAAGCGCATCAGCTGTACGAGCTCGTCCTGACGCTTGTCAGCTGCACGACGAAGCTCAAGAAAGCCATGGCCTTGACGCATGCGGAAGTCAACGACTTTGTGGGGTGCTCCAGCGATGCATATGAACTCATGGACGCTCGACTAGATCGCGTACGAAGACGAGTTTTACCTCCACCGCCTCGTCCACCAGCACCAGCAGCTCGAGTAGTGTCACTCTCTTTGCATATCAAGTAACAGGATGTAGGCGCGACCTGCCAACGCATTCGCTGTGGCATGACCCCAACCACCCGTCGACACCGACAACGACCAGTGTTTAGTAGGCGTTCTAGTATATATTAGTGTATAGTCATAGGAGTCCAAGTCTAGACATTATTACTCCGAGTCGGAGGAGCTCGAGCTCGTCTTGGCCTCCTTCTTGGTCTTCTTAGCTTCCTTCTTGGCCTTCTTGGCGGCCTTCTTAGCCTTCTTGGCAGCCTTCTCTTCGTTGTCATCGACGACGCCCTTGGTCTGGAGCGCGTCGCGCATGAGCTTGCCCTTGCACGAGCCATACGCACGACGCCCAAAGAGCTTGCCGCCCGTCGCCGCGAAAAGCTGCTCGTCCGTCGGCACGTCCATCTCGGCCCGCGACCGCTTCTTGGCCTTCTTGGCCTTCTTGGCCTTCTTCTTGCCATCGTTGTCGTCGTCGTCGCTGGCGTCGACAACGATCTTGCTCGCCATCTTGTTGTAGACGTTGTACCACCACTGGTTTGACACCTCTTCGGTCTTGGCGGCCTCGGTACCAACGCCCGAGTTCTCTTCGCGCCGCTTGACCTTGATGTGGGTCGCGATACCTTGCTCTTCCTTCCCGAGACCCTTGCCTTGGGTCCAGCCCATCTTGGCCATCTGCTTCTTCGCGAACGACGAGACCTCCGAGGCCGCCGACTCGTTGGCCATGCCGCCAAGCTGCGCGAGGAACTTCTTCCCGACGATCGGAACCGTGACGACCGACATGACTCAAAAATGACCACTCTGCCACTGGCCCGGAATTACCGTAATCTATATTTTATAACCGACACAGCCGCTCGTGCTCTCTGTCGCCACGGCCCATTTAGCGTCCCAGCAGTATGCATGCCCAGCACTATGCCGCCTGCATCCGCATCGCGAGTGGCTATAAGTGCTAAGCGAGACATGCTTTGTGGCTTGCCCGCAGCAGCGATGTGTGCGCTGGTTGCAGCGTCGGTCTCTTGTACACTCCAGCGTCCCGGTTGGTTGTCGGCAAGAGCTACATACCGACCCTTGGGCACAGCCCATAGCCGTGAAGGCCTCAAGCCAACGCCAGCTCTAGCCAGGGTGAAATTGGATCGTCTTCGCCGGAGGTGCAATGGCACTGTGTTGCGTGTGTCGGTTAGGAGATGCAATTAGCGGTATATCCGTATAATACGTAGATTATCCGGCGGCGGCGAACGATTGGTGAATGCTGTGGGCGGTGTGATTGGTCGGTGGCATTGACTGGTGTCTATGGCCAAGGGCAATCTCGTGTGCCGATATTCCCAAATTCCACAGCTTTGACGAACATGGAACACATTGAGCAAGTACGTTCTTCTTGGGCTGCGGGGTTGCTGGATCGAGAGATCCCATCTAGTGGAGATAGCTAGTTGGGGTGCGGTGATGGCCACCCCAAGGCGATAACCTCCCTCACTCTCACCTGCTCACCTCCATGTCTTTAGAACGAAAAGGCTTTCCAGAAGCAGGACGGTGTCTTCCTTGCCTCGAAGAAGTTCGCCGGCAAGAAGTCGGGCCCGCGCTTCTACAAGTCGATCGGCCTTGGCTTCAAGACGCCCAAGACCGCCATCGAGGGTGCCTACGTCGACAAGAAGTGCCCCTTCACGGGCAACGTTTCGATCCGTGGCCGTATCCTCAAGGGCGTTGTCCTCTCGACCAAGATGAAGCGCACGATCATCGTCCGCCGTGACTACTTGCACTTCATCAAGAAGTACAAGCGTTTCGAGAAGCGCCACAAGAACGTGGCCGCCCACGTCTCGCCCGCGTTCCGCGTCAAGGAAGGCGATGTCGTGACCATCGGTCAGTGCCGCCCGCTCTCCAAGACGGTCCGCTTCAACGTCGTTGAGGTCGAAGCCGCCTCGGAGACCAAGCCCATCAACGTCCGCAAGCAGTTCCGCCAGTTCTAAGCGCTCGGCGAATGCACATTGTCGAGAGCGATAACGAGACAACAATGAATTTGGGTTGATCTTTACTCCTCCTCTTCTCTAGCAGGCCATTGATCCACGCTTGCTCGAGCATCCGTGTGACGAGGACCAGCAGAACGGCCAATGTGCTACCTTCACAGGCTTTGCAACCGAGACGTGCAACACGGTTCCGAGTGGTACGGTGGTTGATATCTCGCAGACAGTAAGCAAGGCAAGTAACTAGGAGCGAATCCTCTCGTCCTGGCTGTCGACCAAACGTGCGCGATGGAGCAAGATGAAGTCATTCATTCGAGTTAATATATAAGGGCGTCATAAATACAAGGGCAAAGGGCACTCAGTAGGTCCAGCCGTTCTCGCGGCAGGCGCCAAAGAGAGCTGCGATCTCATGCTGGGGCACGTGGCGTGGCTCACGGTCGTTGCGGTCCGTGTACTTGCCGACGTCGGTGGTCGGCTGGCCGTACACGCAGAGGCGGCGCGTGACGTGGCGTAGCTTGATCTGCACGTGGTGGCACTCGTGGCTGCTCGTGCCCTTGACGCGGATGTGGCTTGGCGACGTGGTCCCGATGACCTCGAGCAGCGACGCATAGGCTGCGAGGAAGCGCGCGATATCGATGGAGCCCGAGACGCGGCGGTCGGGCGTCGTCAGCGTGACGTCGCCGGCGTTGGAAACAGAAAACTTGGTCGTCGACCCGTCCTTGGTCGCTGTCGTGATGCACAGGAGCAGGCTGCTGCTTGTCATCTTGGTCGTTGTGGTTGCTGGAATCTCAAATTGTGACCATGTTGAAGCCTGGCTCGTTTTCTTCGGATCATTTTTTCGGATCATCCGGATAAGAACTTATCAAATGAACATGATTCACAAACCAGCCAATCAAACGCAAGAGCGAGCGCGCGCAAAGTTCCGCGAAACTCGCGAGTTCAAGCGTAGTCGAGGCTTCGACTAACTCGACAACACGTCTATTGAATCACGCGATTGACTCGTCTACTGTACAGTGGGCGGCGACGCCCTCGAAAGCAGTGCGTCGAGGTATTGGGCAACGTCGTCGTGGTGGTTGCCTCGGGCGTTGGCGAGCGCCGTTCGCAAGTTGCCTTCACGTCGGTGGGCGCAGAGAAACGTCACGACGTCCAAGTGCCCGTGCTGCGCGGCCATGTTGAGCGCGTCCTCGGTGCAGCCTTCGCGCCGCGCTTCATGCAGGAAAGCGACGACCGCCAAGTGCCCGTGCTTGGCGGCAAAGTCCATCGCCCACGTACTGCAGCCTTCCCTCCGGTGCAAGTGCAGATATTCAACGATCTCCAAATGCCCGTTCGTGGCCGCCATGTCCATGGCCTCGGTCGTGCACCCCTCGGTGCGGTACGTGTGGAGGTACGTGACGACGTCGAGATAGCCGTTCGTCGCCGCTTGGTCGATGGCCAAGGGACTGCAGCCGTCGTTCCGGTGCGTATCCAGAAACGCAACCACCGCCAAGTGGCCGTTGGCCGCTGCCGTGTCCATGGCGCGCGCCGAGCCCGACGTCTCCCGCGGCGAGACGTGCCAATGCAAGTATGCGACGACGTCCAAATGCCCTTTGCCGCATGCGTCGTCAAAGGCGTCGGTGGACACCACGAGCTGCATGTTATGGCGGCGCGGAAAGAGGTACGTGACGACGTCGATGTGGCCGCTCACCACGGCCGTGTCGAGGAGGTCCGAGTCCCACGGCGCGCCGACCGACTCGACGAGGTAGCGCACGACGTTGAGATGGCCGTTTTTGGCCGCCGCCGCGAGGGCGAGGACGCTCCCGCGCGCGCTGCAGTGCGTGTGCAGGAAGCAAAGCACGTCGAGGTGGTTGCTGGCCGCCGCGCCGTCGATCGCGTCGCCCGAGCACTTGAAGTTGTACTTGTGCAGCAGCTGCAGCACTGGTAGATGACCGTGGATCGCTGCATTGTCCATCGCGTCCGGCGACGGCGGCGCGTCACACGCATGGTTGAGGCAGAGGTGCTCGACAAGACCAAGGTGCCCTGCACTCGCCGCCGTCGCCAGCAAGGTCGACGCTGGCGGCGCGATCGCGCGGTGGGCCACCAAGAGGAAGGCGACCAGTCCGACGTCGCCGTGCGTCGCTGCGCACTCGAACGTCTTGGCGCCAAACCCGGCGTAGCGCTCTCGTTGCAGATAGACGAGGACCGTGGTTTGGCCATTCGCCGCCGCGAGGCTTGGGGCATAGGCTGGCGCGGACGACCGGTGGTGCGCGTGCATGTACTGCAGCAGCGGGATGTGGCCATAGTAGACGGCGTGGGCGTAGCAAAGCGGCGCGAGGTTCGGGAGCGCGGTGAAGAGGCGGCGAAAGCCCGACGCGCCGTTGGCCGCGAGCCACGGCCCAAAGCAGAGCGCAAAGCTCTCGACGGCCTTGATGATGTGTCGCGTGGTCCGCAGCGACGACGCGCGCCGGACAAGAGGTGCGTGCGTCTGCTTGTAGTAGCGAGAGAGCGGGCGCAGGTCCCATGAGACGCCGGCTTGGAAGCTGACGATGATCGCCACGAGCTCGGGCGACCGCAGCGCAACGGCCATTTCGCTCTGACGAGTGATGGGCGTCCGGATACGCGTGCATTGGCGGCCGACAGCAGGCGGTTGGCCAAAGCTGGCGAGAAGGTCGCCGCGTGACAGAGGGTCGACGGACGCGACCATACTATTTGTTTGCAGCACAATCTAAAGTTTGGCAAAGAGAGCTGAGGTCGGCAAGCTGGACCAAGCAATTTGCCGATCCCGCCGCCGTTCCACCCTCTCGGGGCGGAATGTGAGTTACTCGACCGGCTCTGATCGCTGGCTCTGATCGCTCAGGGTCCGTGTTGATTTGATTAGTTTAAGCCACGCAAGGAGAAGAAGAAGGGGTCCTCGCGCGTCTACCCAACAACCTTCTTTCGCTTGTTCGGGTCGTCCTGGCCGCGCTGGACGGCCGTGATGCGGTCGCCGAGGCTCAGCGCGATGCCTTGCGTCTTGCTTCGGATGCGAATGTGCCCCGTGATCTTGCCCTTCTCCAGCTTCTCAACGCTGAGGTTGGCGAGCGCGTCTTCGCCTACAGCCGCTCATCTCAGTCCACTCGAATGGGGAAGTGGGGACGTACCAAAGATGCTCTTGGCGTACAAATTGGCCGCGAGAAAGTTCGTGTCGCCGCCGAGCGACGCTGTCGGCGTCATGCAGCGCATGTTGGTCTTGTCCGTAATGTGCTGGAGGAACGCAAAGACGTTGGTGATGTCCGTGTTGACAGCCACCTTGTTCTCCCACTCAAACTCGGCCCACATCGACCGGAACGCCGTGTCGGCGCACGACGCCGGCACGATGTAGTCCATGATGTCGAGATGGATGTCGTTGAGGTTCACGTACGTCTTGTCGGCGCCCGACGCGCTCTCGTAGACAATCGTGCCAAAGATATGGCCCGTCTCGGTCGACGACACCTTGATGTTGGCGCGGATCGTGCGCGTGTCGAGCGGCCCGATCGTCACGGACGCCGGGCGCTCGATGAGCTTGAGGTCGCCCATCGGCGTCAAGTCGACGCTCAGGTTGTTGAGGGTCGTCGGTGTCCGGTTGATGACGAGGATCTCGAGCACAATGTCATAGTCGTGCACGGTGACATAGGCCTCGGCGTACACCGAGTCGGCAAAGCCCGTGAGCTGGTGCACGGCGCGGAGCTTCCCGCTGTACTCGTTCGTCGCCACCGCGCGCCCAATGTCGGCGCCGTCGTCAATGTCAATGTCCGTCGACCCGAGCGCCTTCTTGCCGCGCAGCTGACGAAAGCTAATGAGGTCGTCGGCCTGCAGCGTCGCCGGCTCGTCCGACGCCACCTTGGCGAGGTCCGCGGCCGTCGTCGCCTTGATGCCTTCCAGCACGGCTTGGTACGACGCGCGGCAGTCGCGAATGAGCACGCTATGCAGCGCTTCAAACGCGGCAGGGTCCGAGAGGATGCGCACGCACAGCAGCATGCGCCGGCGCGAGTCTTCGTCGAGCTCGATCTTGCCGTTCTTGGCCGACTTGCAGTGGTCGAGGCCGTAGACGATCACGGCGACGATGTACCGGAGCGCGTCGACCGTCATGGCCTTGACAACGCCGTCCTCGGCGGCACTCGCGTCCTTGGCGATCGCACGCGCGACGAGCTTGGTCAGCGTCGAGGCGAGCGTCGACGCGAGGAAAAAGTCGCCGTTGAGCACGAGCTTGCGCAGCATGAGCACGGGCCCGGCCGCGTCGACGGCCGCTGGCGCCGCGTACGACGTCTCGGTCGCGTACGTGCCGTCGGCCAAGACGATGCTCTTGGTCGTGGGCTTGACCTGGGCCGCGAGAGGGTCGACCTTGGCTGTATCTGGCACGGGCGTCGCAGTGTTGAGCGGGAGCGACCCGAGGGCGGCGAGGATCGCTTGGAAGACGCCGTCGATCGAGGTTTCGGCCGCGCCGAGGTCATCGCTGGCGTACTCGCCGAGGACCCAAAGCGCGACGCGGTAGACCTTGGCCGACTGGATGTCCGGGAACGAGATGAGAAGCTTCTGGAGGATGCTGGCGCGCAGGTCCGGGTACGACTCGCACATGGTGCGGACAAAGAGGAGGACGTCCATGGCGCCGTCCGTGCCGACAAACTCGAGCAAGAGGTGGACGACCTGGTGCGCAATGTCGGGGAACTTGACCGCGCAGTTGTTGATCGACTTGATGAGGAGCGCGCGGTACTCGTCGCACTGGGCCTTCTCCATGCGGCCCTTCTCCTGCGTCTTGAGGATCTCGCGCTTGAGGTGGCCAATGACCTCTTCAATGTTGCGCGGGCTCACGAGGCTCATGGCGATCTCGAGCACCTTTTTGCAAATATCGAGGTTGGGCGAGCTCAGCGCGCGCATGACGTCCATGAGCACTTCCTGCAGGATCTTTGTGTGGTGCTTCTTCAGATCCGCGAGCCGGTCGAGCACGATCAGCTTGACATTGTTGTCGCTCTGGCTGTTGAGGAGGCCCGCGTACGTCTTGGCGGCGGCGCGGACGGCTGTCGGCGCCGAGCTCAGCGTCACGAGGGTCCACGCGGCTTCGTAGCTGACGGCGGCCGACGACGACTGGAGCAGCTGGAAGATGCAGCGCACGAAGCGCGCCTTCTGGGCAGGGTCGGCGCGACAGACCTTGCGCGTGAGCTCGAGGATCACGAGCGAGAAGCCGTCGCCAAACTTTTGGATCTGGTCCATCGAGGTCATGAGAAAGTTGACGGCCACGTTCTCGGCGCAGTCAAACAGCATGAGGAAGGCGTTGCGGCGCGCGCTCGCGTCCGACTCGTTGACGATGAAGCGCTCGATGAGCTCGGGCGCGTCGGGGATGAGGAGCTCGCCAAAGTTCTTGTACATCGAGTAGACCGTCATGACTGCGTTCTTGCGTACGTACGCGTGGCGGTGGTCGAGGTTGGCCTTGACGGCGTCTTTGAGCGGCTCGAGGAGCTCGCGCTCCTTGATCTTGCAGAGGAAGCGCAGCATTGAGCCGCGGATGTACTCGTTGGCGTGGTTGAGGTCGTTGAGGAGCGCGTTGCAGACAAGGATCATCTCGGGCAAAAGCTTCCCGGCCTCGTCGTACTTGGACGCGATCTCCCAGTAGACCATGAGGAGCTTCTTGAGCTGGTGGTCTTCCTTCGTGGAGCAGAAGCGGATGATCTGCATGAGGACGCGCGGCAGCTTCTCGCCGTTGAGGAGCGCGAGGATCGCCGCCTTGAGCGCGCGGACCTTCTCCTCCATCTTGGGGCTCTCGAGGCCCTTGAGGATCTCGTCCTGGCTCGGCGGCTGGAGCCCGCCCTTCTCCACGCCCGAGAAGAGCAGGATCGTGCAGTTCTTCTCCGTCGTACTCATTACGTGGGGGGTGACGAAGACTTGTTCGAATACGCAGCCCCAAGTTGATTTGTTTGCCGCCCATTGGCCGAAATCCCCCTGACTTGGAGCGATGCCATTGGACAAAAAGATATCAAAAAGTGAACCCGCCGCCAATGACCGGCGTCTCCGGATACGCGACCGAGCACTGCCACGTCATTTTGACACCCCATCCTCAAGTGGACATCAAGACAAAAGCTCATCGAATGCGTGATGGACGCGATATGTTAAGAAGAAAAAGACGGTTGACGAGGCTACGCCGACGGGTGGTGGCTCTGCGCGAGCACTTGCGCGAACGAGTCGCGATCGAGGGCTGACGCCACGACGACGTCCTCCTGTGCCTCACGCTTGACGCGGCGCGCCTTCTTGAGCCGGTGCCAAATGCACACGGCCTGCTTGGCCAAGATGTAGAGCTGGCGCGAGTTGAAGAGGAGGAGGAGCGCGATCTGCAGCACGAGCGCACACGTGCCGACGACGGTTTGCACGCTGTGGTCGACGTCGGCGATGACGAACGAGCTCAGGAGCGCGTATGTGGCCATCTTCATGACGAACGCGATCGACGCGCAGACGTTCTGAAAATCGAGGAGGTACGGACTGCAGTGCGTCATGTAGAGGAACATGCCAAACTGCAGCGAGAGCAGAAGCGTGAGCTGCGTCGGCACGTTGCTGACGGCGCCAATCACAATGCCGCTGAGCACCTCGGCGCCCATCTTGGCGACGAAAAAGTACCGCTGTTCGAACGTATACGTCTTGTAGTAGCCGCCCCACGTAAACTTGAAGCCGGGCTCGGCGAGGTCGGCCGCGGATTTGCCGTGGAGCATGCACACGCCGAGGACGAGGAGGCCGCAGCAGAGAAGCGAGAGCGAGAGCGTCGCAAAGCAGAGCCCGCTGCTGTCGGCGAAGCGCAGCTGGAACGACGACGTCATGGAAAGCGCGTACTCGCTCATGAGCGCGATCCCGAGCGCAGCCTGAAGTAGCAGCCGCAAGAAGAGCCGGTCCTGTGGCAACTCGGACGCGAGCTTCTTCTTGACGTTACGTAGACTAGAGTGTATATATGGGATACTGCTTGGATACGTGGATGGGTGAAGTGTACCGCTGGCCAAAGAGGAGGCGCACAAGGCCGTAAAGACTGCTGACGACAACGACGACGACGCCAACGACGCTGGCAAAGCCGATGACCGTCGCTTGGAAGAGCGCTTCCGGGTCGATGTGCAAACGCTGGGCGTACGAGAGGACACCGGCTATGATGTCGCCTTGGGCGATCGAGAGCGCGTTCGCTGAGAGTGGCGTCGGACCTGACGCGTTCCCCGACCACGACGGCGGTACGTTCAAGACCGTCCACGCGAGCGAGTCGGTAAAGTCGTGGTAGAACGGTGGCGCCGACGGCATCTCCATGTGCCCCGACGACGCCAAGAACTGGAGGTAGTCGATGAGGACCCAAAAGGACACGACATCACCCGGTGGGCCCACCGCCCTACGCGCCATCGTCCACTCAGCACCGAGTATCGCAGCGTGATGTACGTGGCGGTCGACGAGACGACAGAGAGCGAGTGTGTGACGGTCGGCAGTGTCGAGCTCAGCACCATCGAGATGACGCTCGTGAGCAGCGACGACGTGACGGCGGCACCCACGATGAGCTGCGCGTTCTCGGACGCAAGGAACTGCAGTGTATCGACGAGCCCTGGCGCTGTTTCGATCAGCGCGTAGCTAAAGGACTCGTTGCCGCCTGCCACGAATCGCAAGATGTGAGCGCATGCAGTGGTGATGAATGGGTGTATATACCTTCCGAGCCGACAACTTGGTCGTGAATTTGCGGCACGACGGCAGACGGCAGTGGTGATGCCGCCGTCTCGTTGAAGCGCTTCATCTCTGGCGCGGGACTAAGGCCTTTCTGCAACGGCTGCTGCGACGGAGCTGGTGCACTGGTTTGCTTGAAGTTGAACGCAGGCATGGGAGTCGGTCCCGTGGCAACCGTCGGAGCTGGAAGCACCACGCTTGGGCGGGCCGTCGGCGCAAGAGTCGTCGACGGTGCTGCTGATACATCGGGTGTTAAAGGCACCGATGGAGAGCTACTAGGCTCCGGAGAAGACGTGGTTGTTGATGGCTCTGTGGACGACGCCGGTGTCGTTGCAGCTGGTACCGTTGTAGCCACCATAGTCATCGCTGTGGTCGGCACTGGCGACGTCGACGACGTGTCGCCTGGCGTGGGCGCGACTGTTGGCGCACCAGGTCCGCTTGTTGGGGATACCGTTGTCGAAGTCGGCTCAGTTGTAGAAGCAACCGGTGCCGTTGACGTCGTGGGCATAATTGTAGTTACTCCTGGTCGATTTGTGGCTGGCGTCGATGTAGTTTCGGCAGGTACTGTCACTGGGCTACGTGTCGTTGGTGGAACCGTTGTGTCAACCGGCATGGTTGCCGGGATGCTTGGTGTCCACACAGGTGCCGTTGATACTGATGTTGCTGTTGGTGTTGAAGTTGGTACCGTTGCCGTCGTCAAGGCAGGCCCAGCTGGTTGGCTTGTTGTCGTGGGGTTTACTGTTGCCACAGCGGGTGCAGTCGTTGGAGCTAATGAAGGCGGTCTCGTTGTACTCGGGCTTCCTGATAATGGCGTCAACGCTGTCGGCGTTGGTACCGGCGTTGGGTCGACAGGAACGGAGGCCTGCGTTGTCGAAGTCGGTGCCGAAGTTGGGTTTGCCGTCACGGGTGCCAGTGTCGACACCACTGGCGCTGGCGTCGGGTCAACTGTCATTGGACTAGGCGTGATCGGTGCTAGCGTGGGCTCTACGGGT